CTTGAGCTGAAGAGCTGAGGGACAGAGCCCAGGCCCAGAGCTCAAGCCTTGTGACTGGCAAAAAAATGTATTTTTTATTTTTTATTAAGTAGTTCTACAGGGCTGGGAAGATGGAGATGGCTCAGTGTTAGAGCGCTTGCCTTGCATGCCTGAGGCCCTGGGTTCGATTCCTCAGCACCACATAAGCAAAAAGAAAAAAGCCGGGAGTGGCACTGTGGCTCAAGTGGTAAAGCGCTAGCCTTGAGCTGAAGAGCGGAGGGACAGTGCCCAGGCCCAGAGTTCAAGCCTTGTGACTGGCAAAAAAATGTATTTTTTATTTTTTATTAAGTAGTTCTACAGGGCTGGGAAGATGGAGATGGCTCAGTGTTAGAGCGCTTGCCTTGCATGCCTGAGGCCCTGGGTTCGATTCCTCAGCACCACATAAACAAAAAGAAAAAAGCCGGAAGTGGCACTGTGGCTCAAGTGGTAGAGCGCTAGCCTTGAGCTGAAGAGCGGAGGGACAGCGCCCAGGCCCAGAGTTCAGACCCCACGACCAGACCCCCCCCACAAAAAAAAAAAAAAGTAGTTCTACAAAGGTGTTTCAATTTCACAAGTCAGGTAATGAGTACAATGTGCCTTGATTGATGTCACCCCTTTCTTATTTCTCCCTTATCTTTCCCCATTCCATTCATACCTTTAAGTTGCTATTTTTTACATAAAGTACATTGACTATAATGACTGTTTACTCATTCTATTCCTCCACTCATGTGTCCCCCTTTTGTTTTCCTCTCTTACCCTCCCCCCCCCCCCCCCATAGAACATGTTTCAGCTTTGTTTTGTTACCTTTTTTTTTTTTTTTTTCTGCCATTCCTGGGCACTGTAGTTGAGCTTCTTTTGCTCAAGGCTAGCGCTCTACCACTTGAGCCACAGCGCCACTTCCGGCTTTTTCTGTGTATATGGTACTAAGAAATGGAGCCACTAAGCCACCTTCCCAGCCTGGAATTAAAAGTTTTATTTATTTTTATTTTTTTCTTATTGTAAGTCATTTATTGTAATATAATTTACAAATATCTTGCTGTCTTTAGTAATTCAAACAATGAAGCAGGTTTCTTCTGACAAAGTCAGCAATAAGCTAAAAACAAAGTCAGCTTGCTGCATTTTCCTTCTTTACCTCTTTTTTTTTTTGGGTCCAGTTGTGGGGCCTGAACTCTGGGCCTGGGCGCTGTCCCTCAGCTCTTCAGCTCAAGGCTAGTGCTCTACCACTTGAGCCACAGCGCCACTTCCGGCTTTTTTCTTTTTGCTTATGTGGTGCTGAGGAATTGAACCCAGGGACTCATGCATGCAAGGCAAGAGCTCTACCAGTGAGCCACCTTCCCAGCCCCCTTCTTTACCTCTTGTCTGAGGATGGAAGTTGGTTTTCATTAATCCAGAGCGGCAGCCCCAGAGATAATTTCAATCAGCTCCTTAGTGATGACAGCTTGGCGGGTGCAGTTGAATGTGAGTTAGTTTATCTATCATTTCAGAAGCGTTCTTGCTGGCATTATCTGTGGCTGTCATCCTGGCACTCTGCTCACTGGTAGCAGACTCCTTCAGGGAGTAGTAGATGATGTTGACCAGGCTGTACTCTTGGTAATTTTGCAGCACATCTGAATCAATATCATCATAGATGCTCATGCTCTCAGCACTTGCAGTAGTATCAAGAGAAAAGATGGGTTTTTCTTCTGTCTTATAGGAAATAACAGATCTCAATTGATTGAAGATGATAGAGCCTTCATCAGACTCATATCCAGAATTTAATAATTCAAGAGCAAGCATCTCCAAAAGTAGGGGGTTTTCTTCCCACATCTGTGAATGTCACCAGAAACTTGTCAGAATGAGTACTATGGAGAATGCCCCTGAGTTTATCACCAACTCCAACAAGCATGATCTCTTTTTCAGCTGCTGTGAGTGTAGCCGCCTCATTTTTTATCAGTTTAGCAACTGATGAGTGAATAGCACCACAGAGCCCTCGGTCTGAGGACACACCAATAAGCAGGTGTTTCTTCTTATCTTCAGTTACCTTAATATCAGCTTTTTCATACAGAGCCAAAGATCCTATTCCATATACTCGAGCCGGCTTCAGCTCCCTTTTGCATGGGAATATTTTGCTGCTGCTACCATTTTCATAGATTTGGTAATTTTCTGGATTTTTTTTTTTTTTTTTTTTTTGGGGTCCGGTCGTGGGGCCTGAACTCTGGGCCTGGATGCCTCAAGGCTAGTGCTCTACCACTTTGAGCCACAGCACCACTTCCGGCTTTTTTCTTTTTGCTTATGTGGTGCTGAGGAATCGAACCCAGGGCCTCAGGCATACAAGGCAAGCGCTCTACCACTGAGCCACCTTCCCAGCCCCTTTCTGGATGTTTTTGATCTACTTCAGTTGCCTGGTTATATCTTTCTTTCTTTTTTGGGGGGGGGGAGGTCTGGTCGTGGGGCTTGAACTCTGGGCCTGGGCACTGTCCCTCAGCTCTTCAGCTTATGTGGTGCTGAGGAATTGAACCCAGGGCCTCATGCATGCAAGGCAAGGGCTCTACCACTGAGCCACCTTCCCAGCCCGCCTGGTTATATCTTTCAACATCACCATCTTTCAAACTTGGATCCTTGCTGAAGGTGGAGCAGGCGGACCTAAAAGTTTTATATCTTTGATTTTTTTTTCTTCTGGCTATGCTTGATCAAAGTCATTGTAAAGCTGAGTAATGGTGTGATTCATGCCTGTAATCATAGCAACTCTGGAGGCTGAGACCTGGTTCAGAGCTAGCATAGGTAGAAAAGTCTGTGAGATTCCATCTCTAAAATACTAACCAGCAAAAAGCTGGACTAGAGGCCTGGCTCAATTGGTAGAGGGCCAGCCTTAAGTGAAAAAGCTAAGGGATAATACCCTGAGTTCAAGCCGTACCCCCCTCCCCAACAGGAGGAAGTGGACAAGGACAGATGTTTAGGAAATGTTTTTCCTTCTGACAAAGAGAAATGGAAAGTTCCTGCCTTGAGAGTATCCCTTGGGGAGCTCAAACAATCACTGACAGTTCTTGGAAGTCCCCAGTGCCTGCCCCAACTCAGGAACCTGCCTACAGCCTGAGGTGGAGGCTGGGCGTGGTTTCTCAGTCTACAGTGAGGCATTCAGAACAGTCAGACACTGGTGACCAGAGGGGATAAGCAGGTTGGTCCCTGGAGTACTGAGGCCATTATGGCCTGAGAGTGTGTGACAGAGGCCTGAGAATCACTAGTTAACAAGCATAGGGTTTCTTAAGGAGACCTTGATTCTAAAACTAAAAAGTAACAAATACAATGTGAGCCACTTACATAATTTAAAAGTCCTAAAAAATAAAGCCATCTTTTTTTTTTTCTTCCAGTCCTGGGGCTTCAACTCAGAGCCTAGGCACTATCCCTGAGCTTTTTCTCACCCAAGGCTACCACTCTACCACTTTGAGCTACAGCACCACTTCCAGTTTTCTGCTGGTTAATTGGAGATAAAGAGTCTCAGACTTTCCTGCCCAGGCTGGCTTTGAACCATGATTTCTAGATCTCAGCTTCCTGAGTAGCTAGGATTACATGGGTGAGCCACTGGTGCCCAGCTAGTAACCACCTTTTAATTTATTTATTAATTTATTATTATTATTATTTTGTAGTAGGGCTTGAACTCTGGGCTTGGGCGCTGTCCTTGTGCTCTTCAGCTCAAGGCAAGCGCTCTACCACTTGAGTCACAACACCACTTCCGGTTTTCTAGCGGTTTATTGGAGATAAGAGTCTCACGAACTTTCCTGCCCGGGCTCGCTTTGAACCCTGATTCTCAGATCTCAGCCTCCTGAGTAGTTAGGATTACAGGCATGAACCACTGGCGCCCAGCTTATTATTATTATTTTTGTCAGTCATGAGGCCTTAACACTGGGCCTGAGTGCTGTCCCTGAGCTCTTCAGCTCAAGGCTTGTGCTCTACCACTTGAGCCACAGCTCCACTTCTGGCTTTCTGGTGATTAACTGGATATAAAAGCTTTATGGCCTTTCCAGCCCAGGTTGGCTTTGAACCTGGATCCTCAGATCTGTCTCTTGAGAAGCTAGTATTAAAGGTGTGAACCACCAGCACTTGGCAGTACCTGCATCTTGATCATTGTCACCACTTCTATCATTCTCCCTCACCTCTCCCAACCCCTCCATCCCCTCAAGTCACTCAGTTCTTTATTACATGGAATATGACTGTGCAACGAATACAATGTATTCCCCCATCCTTCCTCTCTCTTTTTGTTTCCACTCCTTTTTACCCCACACCAAGTATTATCTCAACATGTCATCAATATAAAAGTATTAACACAAAGGTTTCCATTCTTTTTTTGTACTGAATCTTGAGCACCTCTGTTTTCCCTAGTCAAACTTCAGAGGCCCGGTAACCACAAGTTGCTGGTAGCTGGCTGGTAGTGCAAGGAGGGTCCAGGCTGGAGCCCTTCCTGCAGAAGCCGTTTCCTCTGTATCCTTGTGCCTGGCGTGCCTGACAGACAATGAGGGGCCAATAACTGACAGCCGAGCTTGAGTGGCCTCCCCTCTGGGCTTCCTGGGATGCTGTGGAGGTTCAATAAAAGGATGCATAAATGGTGCCCGGTGCAGTGACAGGCATTTAGGAGCCTGAAGCATGCTTACTGCTGTTGGAACTTCCTCAAAGGCAATTCAAGAGTAGTCTGCCTCAGGCTCCCTTAGATGAGTCACCTCACTCCACTAGGTAGAGGATGCTTCTCTAAAATTACTAAATGCATTCATTCCAGAGCTGAGAGATGCCCTGGGAACATGTTTTGGGGCAATGAACTCTCACATCCTTGCCCACGTCTTTTACCCTGTGACAGCTCGAGGCCCTGCCCCGCCCCGCCCTGCCCCGCCCTGGCAGACGCCGGCCAAAACTACAACTCCCAAGCTGCACTGGGCGTCTCGAGGTTGTACGTCATCGGCTTGGGACGCGGTGAACAGGAGCTCCAAGGCGCATTTCGAAGCGCAGAGCCGCGGGACCCTGAGATAAGGAGAGGTCGGGGTGAACTGCCGGAGCTCGGAATCTACCGGCTGACCCGGGCGAAGCAGCCAAACCGCAGCGGCCGGTGACGCGCGCGCCCGCCCCTCCCCCGGCCTCTCCCGTGGGTGGCGCTCGCTAGTGACGTATGGATGTGATGGCCGCCGCGAGGCCGGGAAGGTGAAGGTGAGAGGGAGAGCGAGCCGGGTTGGTGGGACCGGCCAGCCTCGACTTGGAAAGTCCTGAGCAACCCGACCTGGGTGGGTGGGACTCCGGGGTCCCGGGACTCCGGAGGAGGCCAGGCGGGCGTCGGTCCCCGCGCTCCCGCCTGAGCCGGGGAGGCCTCCGCGGCCCTGAGGAAGGGGCGGGTCGCGGGCTGGGGCCTGGGGCCCTTGAAGCCCCGTCGCCCGTGCTTCCCCAGCGGCCACGGCCTCATCCCCGCCCCGGCCCCCTGCTTGTTTTTCATCCAGCCCCCTTCTTTGCCCAGCATTTACTCGGCACCAGTTGGTGGCTCCGTTCACTGCCCGAGAGCCCTGCCCTTCCCTACGTTGGGCGCCCATTGCGGTCCCTCCTGTATTCCCTTACACTGCACTGTAAGGCCCTTGGGGACAGTGACTGTTCTTGTCCAGCCCTAATCCTAGGGCCTAGCATAGAAAATGATGACAGCCGTGACCACGCTCCTGGGATGTGGAAAGACAAAGCTGCTTGTCCCCCTTTGGTGCTCCATCATCTCTCTCCCAAGAGGGCTCTGATGGTCCCTCAGAACAGAGAATGAAGATTCTTCATGGGACACTCTGGCTTTCTTCCTCCAGTCACCCTTCCCATCTCTTTTTGGCTTTTGACCACTGACCAAGCCCAGGCCTTGTCCTGGTTCTGGGATCTCCTGCCCTTCCTGGCTCTACATGTGCCTTTGCCTCGGCCCCTGCAGGGGACCTCCCTTCCTAAAGCCTTGCACCAGCACATGGCTGAACACGTGTTTGTGCACACCCAGGGCTGTTCCTACACCTGTGTGTTGTTTTTCCCAGTACCCGAATGAGTAAGCTTCCCTCGGGGATGATTTGTTTGGCTTTAAAACTTGATTAGACATGCTATGCATACCAGATTTTTTTTTTCTTCCCCCTTCTGTTGACCTCTTTTTCTCTCCAATACACTGGGACAGGTGGAGTCAACACAATCACTAGCCAACCACAACCTGAAACAGCACAAGAGGAGAAATCAACTTCTTTCCATCTTTTTGACTACAGCTATGTCCACGATGCCCACCCTGTGAAGGTGTCTTACCATCCAAAAAGTAAGTGTTCCCTGGACCTGGGTTGAATAAAAGGGCCATGCTCTTGCCTCTATCCTTGGGTGGCAAGCCTCTTGGAGGGGTCCTCATGAGGTCCTCATTGCTGGTGCCTCCAACCTGTGTAAAAAAAAAAAAAAATTAGAAAACTACTGTATCTCCTCGCTACTCCCACAGGCTTTCAGTAGTGACTGAAAGCCTGTTTATGGATAGACAGTTGAGAAAGTAGCCAGCATCTCCTGGGCTTCCTGAGAAATTCGTCTGTCTTTCTCCCTTGTGTGTTTCTCGCCTGCACTGGCTCTCCTCCCCCTTCTCTGCCCAGCAGAGGTTGGCTCCTTATCACAGCTCTTCAAAGAGTCTGCCCTGCCCCTTTACCCTGTATACTCTTTTGTTTCAATTTCTCAGCATCTCCTCTGTTCCAGTTGTGCCAGCAGACGATCCGTGGATCCATTTTATTTTCCCTGCTAGGAGTTGGCTGTGCATAAAACTGGGTAAGGAGGTAATGTGGATTCCGGGACTGTGCTTGGGATCCAGACACACCTGGCGGTAGATTGTGCTACTGCTCTTCCTGTACCCCACATACTTAATACTCCTCAACTAATAAATAGCCTAGGTCAATGTAAAACTTCTGATCAACTGGAGTAGTACTACCAGCTTCTGTTCTGTTTGTTTCCAGGCTTAGGCTAATATTTGTTGGTTAATGTAAAGCTTCTGATCAACTGGAGTAGTACTAGCAGCTTCTGTTCTGTTTGTTTCCAGGCTTAGGTTAATAGTTGTTGGCACAGAATAGATGAACTTTTCCCAAATAGGATCCTCAGAATTTTAAAGCCTGTTACATAGAAGATGAGTGTCTTTCTTGAATAAGTTTGTTTAATGCTGATCAAATATGGTTACACTTTTTAAACTGGTTACTCTGTTTTTAAACCTTTCTTCCCAAGCATTTACTATGTTCCAATGTGCCCATGGAGAGGTTTGGTGATGTTTTGTGTATTACATTGCTTTTGTAGTGTTGAACATTGGGTGCAACTAGAGTTCCATGGGCCACACTTTGGGAAATGCTCTGAAGCCAGGGTCTCCAGAACACTTGGAGGTTGTCATAGACTCTTAGAGTGTGTTAATTAGTGCATAACTGATACTGGAACTGAGTGGTCAGGTTCAGCTGTGGTTAGGGAACAGGCCCCAAGTGCTTGTGGTCAGTCTCTTGCTGGCCTGGAGCCTATTAGGGCTCCCAGAGCAGGCACGAGAGCCCAGCTGCCTCTCACCACCCTGGGAGAGGGAGAGCCAGCAGGCAAAGCCTCAAGATAGTGGGGCCCTGTTGTGGCTTTTGTAGGTGTATTTCACAGCTATGGACCTTTTGTGCGTTTGTATATATCCAGTTTGTTCTTTGGAGGGATTACATTTTAACTCTTGACTCATTGAGCTGCAGATAACTTAGCAGAAAACAGTGTTGTTGTTGTTTTTTTTTTTTTTTAAAGTGAGTTTGTGTGTTCAGGGCTGGCAGGTGTGAGATGGCTCCCCCTAGAGGGTTTGCACTTACCCCAGAGCTCTGACAATGACTAGCTCTCTGGAGGCTCAGGGTCTCTGCAGGGACATGGGGTGTGATTTATTAAAAAAAAAAAAAAAAAGTAAGGTTGTATGTGTCCTGTATGGAGTGGGTGACACTTGAGCTCCCTTGAGTAAGAATGTACCAAGTGGGTGAAAAAGAGATAGGGTTCCAGGCAGAAAGCAGGATTCAATGCAGAACCTCAGCTTGGGAATTAGGCAGGCCGGAAGAATCTGACAACTTGGAGGTGTCGCTGGCAGCTTTCGTGTGGTATAGCACGTGGCGGGTAGTGTGAGAGCAGAGTGGATCCTGGATGGGCTGAATGCCCAGCAGGCCTGTAACCTGTAACCCTGTAACCTGTAACCAAGCTTTCAGTAGCGTGCATGCCCTTGACTCCCACACTTAGGAACGCTGATGCTTCTGTGTTTGTATCCTTGGAGCTTGAACTCAATGAACAGAACTTAGGAGCACTTGCTTCGAAAAGCCCGGCTGCTCTCAGGGAACTTTTTCCTGCAAGCAAGTCACTTGTGGGTCTGGGCACTGCCGATCTCCATGGCAGGGGGATGGGGAGTGGTGAGTTTGTGCCTTTGCTTCCCTGAAGGCTGTTATCCTGTGATCTTGCTGGTGGGGTTTATTATTGTTGTTGCTTTAAACCATGTAAAGCTACCTTTGAGCTCTTACTGTGTGCTCAGAATGTTGCTTTCTGCTTGTACACATGAAGAAACCAAGGTTTTGAGGTGAAATCACCTGCTTAAGTTCATGCAGCCCACGAAGAGTACAATCCTGACTTGCACTCAGCCCTGCCTAATTCTCAGGTCTTTGATGTGCTGTCCGTCCCATACCCCTTTGCTTTTCCCCAAAACCCCTGATCTCAGTGACTCTGAGAGGAGCTGGAGAATCATTTTATTCCTGGTGCCTTTGCTCAGGGCCCCACTGGCTTTCTTGGTTAAGACATTTCTCATGGTTGTGATGTTAACTGGAGGAGAAACAGAAATGGGGACTCTAGCTGCGCCAGAAAGCATGGAGTTGAGTACGCTCACTGTGGGATCTCCTTGTAGAGTTACCTGTCTGCCCACCTTGGGTGGTTGATTCCTAACAGTCAGTTCTGGCATTCAGTTGGTGTGCTTTTTCTAGATGCTCTTTCTTTCTGTGTCTCAAGGCCTTGTTCTGCAACCTTTGGCATCCTTTGGAGGTTTCTCCTGTGCTTGCTCATGAACAACACTTTCTTGTTGGGGCAGAGGCCAGTGGCACCGCGGTGAGGGTGATTAGGGAGGGAGAGGACCTGTCACACAGAGCTGCACATGTGCCTCAGGTCCAGGGAGGAGCCTTTTTCCTTTCCCTTCCTAGAGTCTGCAGAAATGCTGGGGAGGTAGTGCTATCCGTGATTGGAACTCTGGGAAGGACCAGGCAAGGCTCTATTTTGGGGAGTAGGTGTTCCCAGCCATACCCTCTCTGGTATGTCTGCCCTTGTTATCTTTGACCAAAGGCCTGTAGAATCTTGGAATCAAGTCAGTGATAAAAGACAGCAAGAAGCTGGGTGCTGGTGGCTTATTCCTATAATACTAGCTATTCAGGAGGCTGAGATCTGAGGATTGTGGGTCAAAATCAGCCTGTGCAGGAAAGTCTGCATGACTCTTGTTTGTTTTTTGGGGGGGTCTGGTCGTGGGGCCTGAACTCTGGGCCTGGGTGCTGTCCCTCAGCTCTTCAGCTCAAGGCTAGCGCTCTACCACTTGAGGCACAGCGCTACTTCCGGGTTTTTTCTTTTTGTTTATGTGGTGCTGAGGAATCGAACCCAGGGCCTCAAGCATGCAAGGCAAGCACTCTACCACTGAGCCACCTTCCCAGCCCCCCCCCCCCCCCCCCCCCCCATGACTCTTATCTCCAATGAAATACCAAAAAGCTGAAAGTGGAGTTGTGGCTCCACTTGAACACAAAATTTCAGGGACAGAATCTAAAGCCCCAAGATTGGCAAAAAAAAAAAAGGGGGGGGGCAAGAGACACATAAATAAGAGACAATAAACAAAATGTTAGTAGTGCTTATTACAAAATGTCAGCTTATGAGCCAGGCACCAGTAGCTCAAGCCTGTAATCCTAGCTACTCAGGAGGGTGAGACCTAAGGTTCACAGTTCAAAGCCAGCCTGGGCAAAAACGTTCATGAGAATCTTATTTCCAATTAACCACCAGAAAACCGGAAGTGGCACTGTGGCACAAGTGGTAGAGGGCTCACCTTGAGCTGAAGAGCTCAGGGACAGCGCCCAGGCCCAGAGTTCAAGCCCCATAATCGACAAAAAAAAAAAAAAAAAAAGGCTACTATGGGCTGGATGCTGGTAGTCTATAATCCTAGTTACTTAGGAGGCTGAATGAAATCTGAGGATAGTGATTTAAAGTCAGCATGGGCAAACAAATCTGAGAGACTCTTACCTCCAATTGACCAGTAAAAAGTCAGAAGTGGATCTGTGGCTCAAGTGGTAGAGTGCCAGCCTTGCATGGAAAAGGCCAAGTGAGAGTGGGAGGCGCTGAGTTCAAGCCCCACCCCCTCACAAATGTTTGCTATGTTGTCATTGGTTTTCCTTTAGTTTCTACAGTGCACATAGCTCTGCTAAAAGAGACCAGTACTAATCCTGTTTGGAATTAGGGTCACTGGGTTCCTGGGCAGCAGAGTGACCAGGAAGATGCCACTGGGTGGTGTCACTTTGTTTTCACTGTTTGCTGCTGCTTCTCACATGGATGGTGAATGGGAGAGGTCAGGGCTTCTCTATATGTTACTTGCAATTCCTGCTCGTCCCTTAGTGAGGTGCTGGGCACTACTGACCAGTCAAGGAATTGCCAACACTCTAGGGCTGAACTCAGGGCTTCGGCTCCAGACTCCTGTGTGGCCACAAGTGTGACAGGAAGAGCGTCCTGAGACCTCCTTGTGACACACTGGGTCTTACCTGAGTGAGTCTTGGAGGGCCCTGTGTTCTTGGTGGAGCCAGAGCCAGTCCTGGTTCTTCCTCGCACCACTGCTGTACCCCTAGAAAAGCCCCATGCAAAGCAGGAGATGTGTGGGCCTCACATGGTCTCCCCTTGCAGCGCGATGTCCCTGCTCTTCTCCCGGTGCAACTCCATCGTCACAGTCAAGAAGGACAAGAGACACATGGCTGAGGTGAACGCGTCCCCACTCAAGCACTTTGTCACTGCCAAGAAGAAGATCAATGGCATCTTTGAGCAGCTGGGAGCCTACATCCAGGAGAGTGCCACCTTCCTCGAAGGTGAGCCGGCCACCTGCCAGGCTAGGCCCCCTTTGAGCCTTTGGGGATCTCATGCTTGGGCAGCTTGTCACCCTTAGCCATGCTCTGTGCTTGGAATCCTGTGAACTGGGCTCCAGAAGATTGGGCCAGGAGGACAGAAGTACAGCTTAAGAATTAAGATTTCCAGGGCTGGGAAGGTGGCTTAGTGGTAGAGCGCTTGCCTCTCATGCATGATGCCCTGGGTTCCATTCCATTCCTCAGCACCACATAAGCAGAAAAAGGCTGAAAGTGGCGCTGCGACTCAAATGGTAGAATGCTAGCCTTGAACTGAAGAGCTGAGGGACAGTGACCAGGCCCCGAGTTCAGGCCCCATGACTGACAAAAAAAAAAAAAAGGAAGATTTCCATGTATTTACTTTAATCATGAGAGGCATGTGAAGGCAAGCAGATCCACATTTGAGAGCTGAAACCTTGGGAGTGACCAAGATGGCTGTATCCAGGTGTCTCCACCTCCATGCCTGTGTTGTCTCCTTAGCTCCCTTAATTCCAAGTACTTCGAGTGTTGGTTATCCCAGGCAGGCAGGGCGCCCTCTTTGCTATTTTTAGGTTGTTGACAGAACTACAAATAGGAAGCTCATGTCCCTGTGCCTTTCCTACTCGTTACTAATTTGAGCCCAGTCTGTCATCCCTGCCCTATCAGCAATGAGGGCCTGTTTTCCTCCAGAGCCTCTTGATTTCTCATTGCCTTACATGGCCAGGCTGCTGCATGAGGCTCCTTGGAAGAATGAGAGGGGCCCAGTTTCAGTCACAAGTCAGTGTCCTGCCCTCTGTATGGGGCTTGATTTAATAGAACGTATCCCCTAAGTATCTGTTTACTTTTAGTGGTACATGGTTTGAGGTTGAATGAGCATTAGCTGTGCTCTGCGTGGCCCTGTGCCAGGCTTAGGTATGCAGCGTGGGCCAGCTAGGCTTCCAGCTTCCCAGAGCCCAGCCCAACCTCTGTGAGGACCTGAGTTACTCCCTCAGATGGCACTGTGGACAAAAAGGCATGTGTCATCATTTCCCTCTAGGATATTCTGAGGTCCTTACTGATTGGTCACAGGGAGGAAAAGGGCAGAGCCATACTGAGCTGCGTTTGCGGTTGCTCCAAGGAGAGGAAGAGAGGCAAGGTCATCCTTCCCACCTGGGCAGAAAGTGAGAGTGGGTCACCTGCTGGTTCTTGCTCTCTGTGCAGTCACATGCCTGGCATCTGGCCTCCTCCCAGGGGCATTGCGAAGGCTGGGCCCATGTGCCCGCTTGTGTATGGAAGAAGTGTTGTTAGGCTGGGCACTGGATTGGCCACTTCCTTTCATGTCACTAGCTCTAGGGGAGGCTCACTGGCTTCTCTCACATGCCCCCTCACATCATGCTCTGCACGCCTGAAGAATGTTCTCAAGGCTGGGACCTGCCAGCCTGGTGTTTGGTAGTGTTCTCAGATGAAGCCTTGCTGATGGAAGTGCTCAGTGGGGCGGGCTAGGACCTTGCCGGGGGCTTGCTCCTGTAAGGGTTCCCTAGCTGTCTCCCTGTGAGGGCACTGGGGAAGACAGGGCAGTGAGCCACACGCCCATTCACGGAGCCTGCACTTTCCTGGGTGCAGAGATGGCTCGTTCAGCCCTTGTGGAGTGGACGGTGCACACAGGCGAGCTATGCCAAGGCAAGTGCTAGATGGGAGAAGAGAAGTACACTGTGCTGTGGGTGCACCGGCAAGGCGGGCCTACCCTGCACAGGTGGGGTGGAGTCAGGGAGGGGTGTCTGGCTCCAGGGCCCTGAGGCCAAGAGGGAATGAGCACAGCTCCTTCAGGGTCAAGGCCCAGAGGGTGAGGAGGCTGGCAGGTTTGGGGTGAGAGTGTGAAGAGTGAGGCCGGGTGGGGAGGAAAGTGGTTGGGAGAGGGTAGCAGGGCCCAGTCAGGAAGGACATGGTGAAGTGACACAGAACGTTTAGGAGCTCAGACTCCACAGCAAGGGTGCCTGGTTCAAATCCTGCCTCTGCCAGTGACAGACTGTACCATGAACATAGCAAGACCATGTTTGACACGAGAGTGGGGTGCTCAGTAAAGGGGCAGCTCACGCTCCACCGCTCAGACCCATCGCTGGGCCTTTGAGTTCTGTGGATGAGGAAAACAAGACCTGCAGACACTCACTTTCCTGGGGTCACAGAGCTAGGAGGCGGTCACTGCCATCGTGGGATTCCAGTCAGGCTATTCCCCAGCCCTGTCCATAGCTGGCCACAACACGGCTACAGTTGAGAGCAGAGCTTCAGCAGTGACAGCAGGAGCCACAGAGGAGGACTCGGGATTCAGGTGAGCGAGGCTGCCACTCTGGCCTCTCCAGGCTTGTGATTGTGGAACTGCTGACCCATTTTCATCCCTGCCTCCAGATACCTACAGGAATGCAGAACTGGATCCGGTGACCACAGAGGAGCAGGTGCTGGACGTCAGAGGCTACCTGTCCAAAGTGAGGGGCATCAGTGAGGTGCTGGCCCGGCGGCACATGAAAGTGGCTTTCTTTGGTCGGTGAGTCCTTGAAGAGTTCTTCTTCCTGGCTGGAAGGGTGGGAACAGCACAGGGGAGGGAGGCCCTCTGTGTGGCAGGGACGGCCCTTGTACATGGTTGGTGAGAATACAAGTTAATCCCGTCATTATGGAAATCAGGATGATGCAGCCTTCCAAGGCTGAACTGCCACATGATCCAGCTGAACCACTCCTGGGCATTTATCTGAAGGAATCAGTCAGAATATAGTAGAAGCACCCACACACTTATATTTATTACATCCCTTTTCACAGTAGCCAAAATATGAAAACCAACTGTGACCCATCAACAGATGAATGGATATAGAGAAGGTGGTGTATGTGTATGTGTATGCATAATGGAATATTATTCAGCCATAAAGAGTAAAATGCTTAGCCAGGTGCCAGTGGCTTACTCCTATAATCCTAGCCACTCAGGTTGACATCTGAGGATCACGGTTCAAAGCCAGCCTGGGCAGAAAAGTCTGTGAGACTCTTATCTCTAATAAACCACTTGAAAACCACAAGTGGCCCTATGGCTCAAGTGGTAGAACGCTTGCCTTGAGCTGACAAGTGCAGGGACAGCACCCAAGCCCAGAGTTCAAGCCCTATGACCGACAAAAAAAAAAAGAAAGAATAAAATGGTGTGCTTAGCAAGAAGATGTATCATCATGTTAGGAGAAATAAGCCAGCCGTGCATTGGTGGCTCATACCTGTAGCTAATTGGGAGGCTGAGACCTAGCAGAAAAGTCCTAAAAAAAAAATACTGGGCTCCAGGCATGGCTTATGTGGTAACTATTAGCTGTTAGCAAGAACTGATGGAAACTGTGAAGCCCTGAATTCAAACCTGGTACCAACATGTGAGAGTGAAAGAAAGAGGGAGAGGGAGAGAGAAAGTGAGTGAGATAAGCCAGACTCAGACAATTGCATGCTTTATTTTACATATGGAATCTAATTAACAGAAACAAACGGGGCTGGGAAGGTGGCTCAGTTGGTAGAGTGCTTTCCTTGAATGCATGAGGCCCTGGGTTTGATTCCTCAGCACCACATAAGCAGAAAAAGCCAGAAGTGGTGCTGTGGCTCAAGTGTTAGAGAGCTAACCTTGAGCTGAAGTGCTGAGGGACAGTGCCCAGGCCCAGAGTTCAAGCCCTATGACTGACCAAAAAATAAAAATTAGGAATGTGGCTTAGTGGTAGAGTGCTTACCTAGCATGCATAAAGCATGCATAATTCCTCAGTACCACATAAACAGAAAAAGCCAGAAGTAGCGCTCTGGCTCAAATGGTAGAGTGCTAGCCTTGAGAAAAGAAGCTCAGGGACAGTGCCCAGGCCCTGAGTTCAAGCCCCAGGACTGGCCAAAAAAAAAAAGAGAGAGAGAAGTGTAGTTTTCATACTGGAAAGAGGCAGAAGTAGGACCATGAGACAGAGGATCATGAGTTCCAAGCCAACATAGCTACTCAGTGAAATGCTGTTTCAAAACAAAAACAAAACAAAAAGAAAGCCTTGAGAGGCTGAGATTTGAGGATTCCAGTTCAGAGCCAGCCCCAACAGACATCCACTAGAGTCTTATCTCCAGTTGGCCACCAAAGAGCTGGAACTGGAGATGTGGCTCAAATGGTAGAGTACTAGCTTTGAGTAAAAAAGGTAAGCAAGAGTGTGAGGCCCTGGGTTTAATTTCCAGTGGCAGCATATGTGCGTACACACATACCACATAAAGCAGAAGGGGAACTATTTGGGAAAAGAAAGGCAGGAGTGGAAGAACAGAGAGAGGTCAGGGAAGGGTAACAGGGTGGTGACTATGATCAAAGCCCATTTTCTTCATGTATAAATGATAGTGAAACCCATTATTTTGTATCATTAGTATACAATAAAAAGGAAAAAAGAGTTTTGACTAGTGTAGATTCCTCGTATAAGTAGAATCATGCAGTATTTAGTTGTCTTTGTGTAAGTGGCTCACAGTTCACCATGTGGTAGGTAGCATGTATCAGAATTTCCTTCCTTTGGGAGCGTGGCTCCAAACCAGGTGCTGTTCATCTGCCATCCATAGACACCTGGCCATAAAGCATAGTGCTGGTGTGAATGTGCATCCATGCCCCTCTGGCACCCACGTCCGCTCCCTTGGCTCTGTGCACCCATGGAGTTGCCAGGCTCATCTGGGAACTCTGTCCTACTTTGTTAGCCCTGCATGGTTTTCCACGGCAGCTGCTGCACTGACTGTCCGTACCAGCGGTGTTCAGGTTTCCGTTTCTCCATATCCTTGCCAGGGCTGGTGGTTTTCTGTTTAGTTTAGTGCTGTTACTGGATCCTGCTTGAACTCAAGGCTCCTTGTTCTTGCTTGGCTTTTTCACTTATGGCTGGTGTTCTCCCAGCTTAGCCACACCTCTAGTCAGGTTTACTTGCTGGTTAATTGGAGATATTCTTACGGATTTGTCTGCCCAGACTGGCTTTGAGCCTTAGTCCTCAGATGTCAGCCTTCTGAGTTTTCCTGTGTTTTGATGGTGGCCATGCTACTGCTATGAAGTGACATTCCACTTGGGATTTTTTAAATTTTAATTATTTATTTTTGTCAGTTGTGGGGCTTGAACTCAGGGCCTGGGCACTATCCCCAAGCTGCTTTGTGCTCAAGGCTAGCTCTCCGCCACTTGAGCTACAGCACCACTTCTAGTTTTTGAGTGGTTAATTGGAGATAAGAGTCTCACAGGAGGGCTGGGAAGGTGGCTCAGTGGTAGAGCGCTTGCCTTGCATGCATGAGGCCCTGGGTTCGATTCTTCAGCACCACATAAGCAGAAAAAGCCAGAAGTGGCACTGTGGCTCAAGTGGTAGAGGGCTAACCTTGAGCTTAAGAGCTGAGGGACAGTGCCCAGGCCCAGAGTTCAGGCCCACAACCGACAAAAAAAAAAAAAAAAAAAAAAGAGTCTCACAGGAACATTTCTGTCCAATCTGGCTTTGAACTGTGATCCTCAGATCTCAGCCTTCTGAGTAGCTAGGATTATTGGGATGAGCCACTGGCTTCTGGCTTATTTTTTTTTTAATTGTTATTATAAAGGTGATGTATAGAGGGTTACAGTTATATAAATCAGGTAATGAGTACATTTCTTTTAAGACAATGTCACCCCTTCCCGTGCTTGTCCAGTTTTTCTCTCCTGTCCCCACTCACAAGTTGTGTTTTTTATTTTTTTGGTCATGTGGCTTGAACTCAAGGCTTGGGTGCTATCCCTGAGCTCTTTTGCTTAAGGCTAGCAATCTACCACTTTTAGCCGTAGTGCCACTTCCAGTTTTCTAGTAGTTAGTTGGAGATAAGAGTCTCATGGACTTTCTCTCCCAGGATGGCTTTGAACTGCAATCCTCAGATCTCAGCCTCCCAAGTAGCTGGATTTATTTAAGGATTATAGGCGTGAGCCACCAGTGTCTGGCCCCACTTAGTTGTATAGTTCATTTTCAACATAATTGTCTAGTGAGTACCACTGCTGCATTTCCACTTGGGTTTTAGAGATGGGCTTTTACTCTGTTGTGCAGGCTTTTTTTTTTTTTTTGTCTGTGGTGGGGCTTGAACTCTGGGCTTGGGTGCTGTTCCTCAGCTCTTCAGCTCCAAGGCAAGCGCTCTGCCACTTGAGCCTCAGCGCCACTTCCAGTTTTCTGGTGATTAATTGGAGATAAGACTCATGAACTTTCCTGCCCTGGCTGGCTTTGAACTGCGATACTCAGATCTCAGCCTCCTTAGTAGCTAGGATTTCATGCGTGAGCAAGCCACCAGCACCCAGCCTGTAGGCTAATCTTCAATTCCAGGTTCAGGAATATTCACTCAGCTTCTGAGTACTGGGACCACAGCTAGCAGGAGCTGAACCACATTGCATTTCTGGGTTCTTCATGACCATGTAATGCAGAGAATTTTCTAGGGCCTGGTCCTTCAGTGTCACACGGCATTTTGTGTTCCAGCTGCCTGGATTATTTGTATGGCTCTTTTCCTTCAGTCCAGATGCTGCTCTGAGCCCTGGTCCTCTCCCATCTCAGGGTAGTTTCCATGATCCTCAGATCCTGTCAGGAAGGAAGCCCTGCCCCACATCCTGAAAGCAGATCTCTTCACAGAGGCATTTAAACAGGAAGGCAGCCCGGGGACAGGGTCCAGGGAGATCCTGGGCTCAAGGAGGGGCGGGTTCTAGGGAGGTTGAAGCTCAAGGAGGGGTGGAGTTCCAGGGGGTTCCAGAGAGGTCCATGGATTAGGGAGGAGTGGGGGGTCCAGTGAGGTCTAGAGAGGTCCAGGGTTCAGGGCAGGGTGTGGGCCAGGGAGGTCCATGGCTAAGGGAAAGCGGGGAGGGGGGGGAGGGGAAGGGAAGGGGTGGTCAGGGAGGTCCGTGGGTTCAGGGAGAGGTGGGGGGTCCAGGGAGGTTTGGAGAGGAGTGGGCTGTACTTGGATGAAGCAGTCTCCGTGCAAGCTACTGCGGGCTGGTTCAAGGGCAGCTGCGGGGCTGGGCTGACGCTGCACTGCACGAGCCCCTGGCAAGCAGTCTGAGGAACATTTGCCTGAGCATCTTCATAAACAGGAGCCCTCCTCCTCGTGCTGTACAGGCACTGTTGGCCTTGCGGAGAATGGCGATGTGGCCCGTGCATCATGAAAGCCCACATGGCAGCTGACCGCTCTTCTTCCTCCTAGGACGAGCAATGGGAAGAGCACAGTGATCAACGCCATGCTCTGGGACAAAGTGCTGCCCTCTGGGATAGGTCACACCACCAACTGCTTCCTGCGGGTGGGGGGCACAGATGGTCACGATGCCTTCCTCCTCACAGAGGGCTCAGAGGAGAAGAAGAGTGTCAAGGTGGGTGCCAGGGACCTCGAGTCCGGGCTAGGAGCAAACAGCATACCCACCTAGTAGGGGCAACAGCGCCTCCCTTCCTTTCCCTAGCTCCCCCTGCTCTGTGGAGGATGTGAGGGCATGGAGAGGGTCAGAGAAGTGGAGCGTGAGAACACGGGCCATGTTGCCTGTTGAGGCTAAGCAGGCCTGGTTGACTGGGCACTGCATAGGAAGGCGGACGCACACCCATCTTCCTTGGGACGCTGCCAGGAGATAGCTTCTGCATTCACTCTGGAATTCTGCCGTCCTAGCCAAGACTGACACAGTTTTTTTTTTTTAAGAGGCAGCTCATTCAGTCAGGTCCCATTTGGGCCAGGTGCTCATTTCTCCTCCTTTTTTTTTCTTTTTTTTGTTGGTTGTGGGACTTGAACTCTGGGCCTGGGCGCTGTCCCTGCGCTCTTCAGCTCAAGGCAAGCACTCTACCACTTGAGCCACAGTGCCACTTCTGGTTTTCTGGTGGTTAATTGGAGGTAAGGGTCTCACAGACTTTCCTACCCAGGCTGGCTTTGAACCGTGATCCTCAGATCTCAGCCTCCTGAGTAGCTAGGAGTAAAACATTACAGAGCCACCAACGCCCAGCTTGAAGTGGGTTCTTCTCAACAGCTCCCAGCTCTTAACTGTGTGTGAAATAAAAAGAGTAGCCAGTTGGACAGTCACCACAGAGTAGCCAGCTGGAGCCGTGCTGTGTCTGGTTGGTGGCTATTCCTCAGCCTGTTCTCTCTGTCCTCTACCATCAGACTGTGAACCAGCTGGCCCATGCCCTGCACCAGGACGAGCAGCTGCACGCTGGCAGCCTTGTAAGCGTGATGTGGCCCAACTCCAAGTGCCCGCTTCTGAAAGACGATCTGGTGCTGATGGACAGGTGAGAGGGGAGGAGCCTTCCTTGGAAGGCTCCCTGGGTACCGTGTACCAGGCTTGAGACCCCTGGTCCCTGCCTTTGTTTCTGCTTGCATATTGCTACCTTTCAAATGATTCAACCAAATCCTCCTACTTCTTGATTTTTTTTTTGGGTCCGGTCGTGGGGCGTGAACTCTGGGCCTGGGCGCTGTCCCTCAGCTCTTCAGCTCAAGGCTAGCGCTCTACCACTTGAGCCACAGCACCACTTCCGGCTTTGTTTTTTTTTTTTGCTTATGTGGTGCTGAGGAATCGAACCCAGGGCCTCAGGCATGCAAGGCAAGCGCTCTACCACTGAGCCACCTTCCCAGCCCCCTACTTGTTGATTTCTTCCAGTATCTTCATACTTGCCAGCTTTGGTGACCTGCAGCTGTCCCTAGATGGGCTAGGAGGGGGTCAGAGCCAGAAGGGCTCCTAGTCCCAGCCCAGAGCCCATCCTACGTGTTGTGTGTTGTTTGAGGGCACGTGGTAGTGGGACGCCATGGTTGGTGTGTGTGTGTGTGTGTGTGTGTGTGTGTGTGTGTGTGTGTGTGTGTGTGTGTGTGTGTGTGTGTGTGTGTGTGTGTGTGTTTGAGGGCACGTGGTAATTGACGCCATGGTTGGTGTGTGTGTGTGTGTGTGTGTGTGTGTGTGTGTGTGTGTATGTGTGTGTGTGTGTTTGAGGGCACGTGGTAATTGACGCCATGGTTGGTGTGTGTGTGTGTGTGTGTGTGTGTGTGTGTGTGTGTGTGTGTGTGTGTGTGTGTTACTATGGATCAGATCAGGCCGCATGCTTGAAGGCAAATACTCTACCACTTGACACATTCTTTCAAGCCTTTGTGTTTGTATTCTTCTCCACACTCCCCCCAGTACCAGGGTTTGGACTCAGGGCCTTGCCCTTGCTCTGCTTTAGCTCGCCTGCTTATCTAGTGTTCTAACACCTGAGCCATGCCTCCAACTCAGCTTTCTGCTGGTTATTTTGGATTTGGAGTCTTGTAGACTTTACTGCTTGGACTGGCTTTGAACTATACTCCTCCAGATCTCAGTCTCCTATGTAGCTGTGATTACAGGCATGCCCTACCATGCCTGGCTGTTATTCTTGGTGGAATACCCTGCTTTATGGACACTTTATGACCATATCAAGAAATATATTACAGTAGGATTTTTTTTAGGTTTTTTACTATTATAAGTTTTATTTAAGAATTTTTAATTCTTCACAATGATTCTTTTCATGGTCCCGGTGCTGGAAATACAGTAGGATTTATATCAGTGATTCCTCACATAAAATTACAACCTGGAAGTTGTTACATTTTTGTAAAAGTGATCGATGCAGGCCCCCAAATCTCCCATTTGCAAGCAATCTGGAGGGATATGAGGCGGAAAGTAAAAATGTCTCAATACAGGCTAGGCAGGCCTGGGTCCCTCCCTCAGCCTTCTCATCCAGCTACCCTACAGGCCCTAGGGCTGTCTGCTGCAAGAATACGAGGGCTGGTCTCTAGATGACGGTGTTGGTTTACCCCTGCCTCCTTTAGCCCTGGGATTGATGTCACCACTGAGCTGGACAGCTGGATTGACAAGTTTTGCCTGGATGCTGATGTGTTCGTGCTGGTGGCTAACTCAGAGTCCACGCTCATGCAGACGGTAACTCATTACTTATCTCCCCCGGACCTGGCGGGTCTCGGCTGGGCAGTGGCTGAAGGGGCCTTGGCTGGGCAGAGGCTGGTGGGCCTAGGCTGGCAGGGCCTCTCTTCACCAAGGTCTGGTCACTCTAGGAGAAGCAGTTCTTCCACAAGGTGAGCGAGCGCCTCTCCCGCCCCAACATCTTCATCCTCAACAACCGCTGGGACGCATCTGCCTCGGAGCCCGAGTACATGGAGGAGGTGGGTTCCTTGTTCAGCATCAGCTCTGGTGGCTTCTGTGAACTGGTGTCGTGGCTAGACTCTGTCTCTGCTGTGTCTTTCCCTTCACTCCCTCACTGTGCTTCCTTCAACCCCTTTTCCTGCCTTCCCCTCTCCCACCCAGCCTGAAGAGTGTCCCCAGGCTGTGTCTTTGTTTGGGGCTGGTACTCACTTTGGTTCATAAAAATTGATTATGTAAGCCGGGCACTGGTGGCTCATGCCTGTAATCCTAGTTACTCAGAGGCTGAGATCTGAGGATCATGGTTCAAAGCCAGCCAAGGCAGGAAAGTCTATGAGACTCTTATTGCCAGTTAGCTACCAGAAAACTGGAAATGGCACTGTGGCTCAAGTGGTAGGGTGCTCACCTTGAGCTGAAGGGCTCAGGGAAAATGCCCAGGCCCACAATTCAAGCCCCACAACTGACAGAAAAGAAAAAGCCAGGCACAGTAGCTTGAGTGAATCATGATTGGAAGCCCATCCCAGGCAAAAAGTTTGCAAGACTCCATCTCAACCAATAAAAAGCTGCATGCATGTGTGCACACATGTTATTCCAGCTGCAGAGGGAAGCATACATAGGAAGGTTACAGTCCAGAAGACCCTGTATCTCAAAAATAGTCAGGAGGGTTTGAGGGGCATGGCTCAAGTAGTAGAGTGCCTGCTTAGTAAGCTCAAACCACAGTAATGCAAAAAAAAAAAAAAAAGAGGGTGGGGTGCTATGGGCTTCAGCATGAGACCCCCAACCACTCAAGTCACACTGTCTGCTTGGGCTCCAGGTGCGGCGGCAGCACATGGAACGCTGCACCAGCTTCCTGGTGGATGAGCTGGGCGTGGTTGATCGAGCCCAGGCCGGGGACCGAATCTTCTTTGTGTCTGCCAAGGAAGTTCTCAATGCCAGGATCCAGAAAGCTCAGGGCATGCCAGAAGGAGGTAAACACAGAGCAGAGGTCCTCCTCTTCCCTGAGGTTCCAGATGCTGGGTCTCAGCCAAGTCAGGTGGTGGAAATTGCCCAGGGATGGAATGATATGAGCTGGACGTGTGAGGCCCCTTCTGGCCAGTACCTGCTGGCTGTGTCTCTGATACTTCATTTTCCTCTCCTGCCAAGCTATTTCCTAGCTAATTCCATGCCATCATCCTAGGGGGTGCTCTTGCTGAAGGCTTTCAAGTGAGGATGTTTGAGTTTCAGAATTTTGAGAGGAGATTTGAGGTAAGTCTGATTCTGGTGTATCTCACTGGCCAGGTCCTGGCAGTGAAAGCCAGAGGCTGACCCATGGTCCAGGTCCTGATGACCTTTTCCTCCTCTTCACTCCTGTGCTTTCCAGGAATGCATCTCCCAGTCTGCAGTGAAGACCAAGTTTGAGCAGCACACGGTCCGGGCCAAGCAGATTGCAGAGGCCGTTCGCTTCATCATGGACTCTTTACACATCGCAGCTCAGGAGCAGCGGTAAGAGCCTGCATGCTGGGAGATGGCGGTGTGCCACCCTGCCTGTGCAGACAGGATCTGCCTGTGCTCACACCTCAGACCATGCCAAAGCCATGTAGACACCTGGTGAGGAGAGGCACCCCTGGGTGCCTGAGCACCCCACTGGCTGGGGCAGAGCAGTGCCCGTGCTAGAGATCTCAGTCCTCACTCTGGATATTGCAGCTATGTTCAGCACCTTTCCACGTTTGTTTGTTTTTTTGTCAGTTATGGGGCTTGAACTCTGGGCCTGGGCGCTGTCCCTGCGCTCTTCAGCTCAAGGTGAGTGCTCTACCACTTGAGCCACAGCGTCACTTCCAGTTTTCTGAGTGGTTTATTGGAGATAATAGTCTCACAGACTTGGGGCTGGGAAAGTGGCTCAGTGGTAGAGCGCTTGCCTTGCATGCATGAGGCCTTGGGTTCAATTCCTCAGCACCACATAAACAAAAAGAAAAAAGCCAGAAGTGGCGCTGTGGCTCAAGTGGTAGAGCACTAGCCTTGAGCTGAAGAGCTGAGGGACAGCGCCCAGGCCCAGTTCAGGTCCCATGACTGGACCCCCGCCCCCCCCCCCCCCCCCAAAAAAAAAAAAAGAGTCTCACGGACTTTCCTGCCTGGGCTGGCTTTGAACCGAGATTCTCAGATCTCAGCCTCCTGAGTAGCTAGGATTACAGGTGTGAGCCATCGGCGCCCGGCTCCTTTCCATGTTTTTATAATTCATTTATTTTTTATTTTTGTCAGTAGTGGGGCTTGAACTCTGGGCCTGGGCGCTGTCCCTCAGCTCTTCAGCTCTAGGCTAGTGCTCTACCACTTGAGCCACAGTGCCATTTCCGTTTTTTGGTGGTTTATTGGAGATAAGAGTCTTGTAGACTTTCCTGCCTGGGCTGGCTTTGAACCATTATCCTCAAATCTCAGCCTCCTGAGTAGCTAGGATTATAGGCATGAGCCACTGGAACTTGGCTATATTTTTATTTTTGAGATATGCTCTAACTGGGGTTGGAAAGGTGGCTAAGCGGTAGAGTGCTTGCCGTGCATGCAAGAGGCCTTGGGTTCGATTCCTTAGCACCACATAAGCAAAAAAAAAAAAAAAAAAGCCGGAAGTGGCACTGTGGCTCAAGTGGTAAGAGTGCTAGCCTTGAGCTGAAGAGTTGAGGGACAGCGCCCAGGCCCAGAGTTCAGACCGCACGACCAGACCCCCCCCAAAAAAAAAAAGATATGCTCCAACTGTTTAGTCCAGGTGGGCCTGGAACTCTCAGTCCTCCTGCCTGAGCCTTCTGACTGCTGGCATTACAGGCTTACGCAGCCTCACAGCACATTTGTAAGGCTTCTTTTTAATGTCACTACTGGGGCTTGAATTCAAGGCCAGGATGCTTCCCTTAGCTTTTCTGCTCAAGGGTGGTGCTCTATCACTTCAGCCACAGCTCCACTTCTGGCTTTTTGGGAGATGAGTCTCATGAACTTTTCTGCCCAAACTGGCTTTGAACTTCGGTCCTCAGATCTCAACTTTCCAAGTAACTAGGATTGCAGGTGTGAGCCTCTGATGCTCAGCTTCCTAAGAAGGTCTTTATACCCTGCTTTTCCTGTGTGTTGCAAAACCCACACAGTGGACACGTGTAGGTCACTTTGTGCCCCTCTGTAAGTCTTTCTAGGGCTGGTTCCTAGATGTGCAGCTGCCCGCCTTAGAGGAGGTGCACTTTTGGTTTGACTCTGCTTGACTTTGTTGGTCTTGGGAGCAGCTATCCCTTGCATTGCCCGGCATGGCCTGTCAGCTCCCACTCCACAGTTTCATGGTTCCCAGGTGTTAGGTAGACAGTAGAGCCCTTCCATTTCCTGATTGTGAAAAGGTGGAGCATTCTTTCTCCCATATTAGTTGGAAGAACTTGTTCTTTTCCTTCTCTCTCACCACCTTGTCTCCCTCCTAGAAGGGAAAGGGGTATCTAGGGTACACATGTGGAGCCTACTCCCAGCAGGAACATGGTGGGCTAAGGGGGGTCTCCAGAGACCCTGCCTGCTCATCAGGGACCACAGGTCTTCTGACCAGTATTCTTGACTCTCAGGGTTTACTGTCTGGAAATGCGTGAAGAACGGCAAGAGCGGCTGAGGTTTATCGACAAACAGCTGGAACTCTTGGCTCAGGACTATAAACTTCGAATTAAGCAGATAACAGAGGAAGTGGAAAGGCAGGTGAGAAATGAGGAGGCACTGTGGGGACATTTGGGCACAGAGTTGAGTCCAAGATGCTGGAAAATATGTCAAGTAAGACCTCCTTGTGATAGGAGCCTTCAGAGCTTTCCGGAGGGAAGTGGCGGCCTTGTTTCAAGAATACAGAGCTTCTTCTTGGGACAAGGACCTGTGCAAGGGCCTGTCCTTTGGGCCTCTGCCGTGGGTCAGCTAAACATTGCTCAGATCCTTCCACCTCAAAAGCTTTGGTCCCCTAGGTGAGCAGAAGAGACTGCTGCACGCAGCGAAGGAGACACTCAGCCTCTCATATTGCAGGATGGAGCCATGTTCTTCCTAATACCTAACGGTGCTTCCCTTGGCTGCAGGTGTCCACAGCGATGGCTGAGGAGATCAGGCGCCTCTCTGTGCTGGTGGACGAGTACCAAATGGATTTTCACCCTTCTCCCGTGGTTCTCAAGGTTTACAAGAATGTGAGTCAGCCCTTGGAATTCTTCATTATTGGGCAGAGTCCATTCAGACAACCGTTTAGCCCTGGCCAGCCTGTGTCAGGGCCCCTAGTAGTGGAGGTAGATGCCTGGGTCCCCTTAATGGGTCTGGCTGACCATCCTCTTACCTCCTCATCCTGTGACTCACAGAAGGAACTCCTAAGAGAGTGCTGCTACTCTTCTTAACCTCTTTCTGCTGCTGCAGGAACTGCACCGCCACATAGAAGAGGGACTGGGCCGAAACATGTCTGACCGCTGCTCCACAGCCATCACCAGCTCCCTGCAGACCATGCAGCAGGACATGATAGGTCAGTGCACGGGAGAGCTGGGGACTTGGGCCTCTGGGGCTGCCTGGGGTCAGGTCAGATGTCACTGTCCATGGTGACTCAGCACCTGCAGGTTCTGGGTGTGTGGGGAACTCATTCCATACATAAGAGTGGAGAATCCGTCACGGGCTGTGGTCTCACCCTGCTCCTGCCGTGCACAGGAGGCCCCAGTGTTGGCAGGTTGGCGCCTCGGGTTGCACAGTTCTCGGGAGAGCTGGCCGGCCTGACACAGTGAGGCTGTTCCATGGCCCCACTCGTGGTGTGGCTTCCGGGCAGAGCTGTTCATAATCTGGCAGCAGCTGGCATGGCCATTGTTGCTAAGGCATGGCAGTGGTATGGCCCAGGCCCCAGGTTGATGTGCTCCCTCCCCATTTGTGTCCCTGACAGATGGCTTGAAGCCCCTCCTTCCTGTGTCTGTGCGGAATCAGATAGACATGCTGGTCCCTCGCCAGTGCTTCTCCCTCAGCTACGACCTGAATTGTGACAAGCTGTGTGCTGACTTTCAGGAGGACATCGAGTTCCACTTCTCTCTGGGATGGACCATGTTGGTGAATAGGTTCTTGGGCCCCAAGAACAGCCGTCGGGCCTTGATGGGCTACAATGACCAGGCAAGCGACATTCCTCACCCTGAGGTATCGAGGGAGGTCAGGCTGTTCCCTGACTGCAGACACGCGCTCAGCTGTATTACGGGAGTCCCCAGGGCAGACCTTGGTGGCCACCTGGGCCCCTGCGTGGCAGGCCACAGTCACACCAGTGCCATAGCTCAGCCTAGTCTTACTCTAATTACAAATGTGAGCTGAGTTGTTTTTCTAAGTTTAAAGTAACTGAGTATTAAAAGTAAGTAGGTATGGCTTAAGTTGGTAGTGTTTGCCCTGATATATGTGATACCCGGGGTTCAATCCTCAGTACCACATTTTTTTTTTTTAAGATTTTAAAACATTTCTCTCAGCCAGTTGGGTTTCTGCTCATGTGAAGCTCATTCGCTTTTTTTTTTTTTTTTGGGTGCTGGTCCTAAGACTTGAACTCAGGACCTGAGTACTGTCCCTGAAGTTTTGTGCTCAAGGCTAGAACTCTACCTCTTGTGCCACAACTCCACTTCTAGCTTCTATGGTGGTTAGTTGGAGAAAAGATTCTCGTAGACTTTCCTGTGTGGACTGGCTTTGAACAGCCATCCTCAGATCTCAGCCTCCTGAGTAGTTAGGATTATAGTCAGTGCTTGGCTCATTCTCCACTCTGTCCCTGGCTTGCTCCCCTGGCCTCGTGGCTCACTGCGGGCTCATTTGAATAGGAAATGCTACATCCTTCTCACCCTTTGCCGACTCTCTCCTAGGTTCAACGTCCTGTACCCCTGACACCTGCCAACCCCAGCATGCCCCCACTGCCACAGGGCTCGCTCACTCAGGAGGAACTCATGGTCTCCATGGTTACCGGCTTGGCCTCTCTCACATCCAGGACCTCCATGGGCATCCTGGTGGTTGGAGGAGTGGTGAGTGAAGTACAGTTCAGGAATGGGCGGCACAGTTCTGGAGGTGGCCCCACACCAGCTCATCACTCCCCAGTGAGCAGAGAGGTTTCTTTCCTGGGGCCCCCAGATCTCTGACAGGCATGGACTGTACCATAAGGAACCTTCGACAGCACGGCTCCTATTTCCCAGATGAGGAACATCTGCAGTGGCTCATTAGGGACATACATGGGGACTTGGCAAAGAAACATCTCCATTTGTAGCAAGGGCTTAAGAGGGAAAGAGGCTATGCTGAGCCTTGAGCCCTCTCCCCACCTTTCACCCCAAGGCCTTGGTAGCAGGCTGCCCTCCAGTTCACTGCGGGTCTCCCCATGTCCTGACTGAAGACCAAGCAGCCAGAATCCCTTAGACCTGAGCTTTTCGTGATGATATGGGCAAATTCTCCTGTGCATGTCAATGGGTAGAGTGGTGGTGGAGGGTGACTGTCCTGCGTACATCTCCCCCCTGCGGGGCCCCCCCACCCCCGGAGGCAGCAGGTGCCACATGGTTCCATTTAGCAGACGTGATAACAGCCATGAGCTGAGAGACAGACACTTGATGCTTATGGAGCCCTTCACAGCATCTTGTCCACCCCCACAGCCCTGCCATGCCTCTTTTGTGAACAAGAAAACTGGTGGCCTGAGGTCACAGCTGGTGCCCAGCTCTGCACCCTGTGCCCAGCCAGCTCCTGAGGCAGGATGCAGAGTTCTGCTGGTGTTTGTCATCCAAGTGGGGTGCCACTGCAGAACATGCCAGCATGGCGTGTCAAGCATGCATGAAACCCCAGGTTCTATTCTCAGCACCATAAGACAAAGCAAACCTGCTTACCTAGGTCACAGGTTTGGTCTTAACCCATACTTGGCATAAGTCATGTCTCGTATCTGACACCCAGGTTCCCTCGTTTCCAACTGGAGATAGTCCCTGCCCCTTGGCCTCCCTGGAGCCAAAGGAGATAGGAAGAAAAGAGCTCTTAGTGGAACCTTAAGGCTCCTTGGTTGGGGTTTTGGCCATTCTGGGAGTGACAGGTCCAAGAGGACAGGAATGGGTGACAGAGGGCCTCTGCTCCCAGCTGACCTTGCGTCTCTGCAGGTGTGGAAGGCAGTGGGCTGGCGGCTCATCGCCCTCTCCTTTGGGCTCTATGGCCTCCTCTATGTCTATGAGCGTCTGACCTGGACCACCAAGGCCAAGGAGAGGGCCTTCAAGCGCCAGTTCGTCGAGTATGCCAGCGAGAAGCTGCAGCTCATTATCAGCTACACCGGCTCCAACTGCAGCCACCAAGTCCAGCAGTGAGTGGCCCTGGTCCTCAGGGAGGGTGTTGCTCTGGGTGGGGTCACCTGAGTCCCTTTCAGCCTGACGTGAGAACTGCTGTGTCCAGGACATTCTGGGTCCTGGGCCTTTGCCTGTGTTGTGTCAGCTTTGAAGCTGGGGATGGGATTGGGGTCTCAGACTACCTAGTATCCTGGGGCTGGGCCCAGGTAAGCCCCAGTTCCCCAAGCGGGAGGCACAGGAAGAGGAGGGACATGCCCAGTAGTTTTTTTAAAGACCCTTAAGGGGCCCTGGGCTGTGGATGCAGCAGTGAAATCTTAGATTAAAGCCTCCTCATGGTACCCTGCAGGTTGGGGGACCTATTTTGCCTGATCAATGCTCACATCCTGTTGTATGGCAAACCCTCCACCAGCCACTTCAACCTACCTTTTCATTTATCTCTCCAGCTGTTTGGGCTAGTTGCTGTCTCTTGGGGTCTCCTTTTTCAGTATAGAACACAGCTGAGATTTGGAGAATAATGCCTTGTCTCTTCCCCTCATGCCCAGGTGGGCTGGGGTGGGGTCAGAGTTCCTCATTGTGGCCCAGAGTAGGACTGGACAGGGCAGAGCCGCTGCTAGGATGTGGCAGGCCCTGCTCTGGGTGAATTGGCATGGAAGGGGGCCTGCCTAAAAAGTTGCACACCCAGCTGATGCCCTCTCTGTCTCCCACAGGGAACTGTCTGGGACGTTTGCACATCTGTGCCAGCAAGTGGATGTCACTCGGGAAAACCTGGAGCAGGAGATTGCTGCCATGAACAAGAAAATCGAGGTTCTTGATTCACTTCAGAGCAAGGCAAAATTGCTCAGGTGAGGCTGGCTCAGAGGGCGTGAGGCAGCAGCCCCCTGGGTGCAGCCAGGCGCTCTGGGGCTCACCTGCCATCTTGTGTCTTGAAAGTAGACACCAGTGCCTTCGGCAGGGATTTAGCTTATTTGTGTCAGATGATCATCAGGCACTGCTGGAGGACAGGCAGTGCTAGCCCTGGAAGCTCAGCACGACACAGCTCCATGGCCCTCGTGGACTTGCAGTTAGGGGCGAGGTAGGCCCAGACCACGCAGCCTTAGCATTTTTCCTGTGCTGTCTCACTCAGTCTTCACCAGCCCTGAGGGGCAGGAGAACGAGCCATGGGACATGGCACCGAGGGTGTGGAGTGCACAGCAAGCTCTGTTCTATGTGTTGTTCTCACACTGCTGGACCCCCTGCCCAAATCTTGTCCAGTTTCTCTCTGAGCCCAGAAAGCACTATGTCCACCCACGGGGACAGGATTGGAGCCAGGCCTCTGGATACACAGAACTTCCACTAGCACTTTGCTGGGAAGAGTGTCAGTGGGGGAGGAGGGGTAGACTTGGCTTCTGGTCCAGCACTTACTCAGCTGCAGTGTCTCATTGTCCTTACCAGTGAGGTAGGAGTACGATTTCATGACCACCATAGCTGCATGTATGTGGATGAGCTCTGGTAAGTCCTCCACCTGTCCAGCTCATGGAAACATCGGCACCTGGGCATTCATACTTCTTGTCCTGCTTCTGATGTCAGGGGCCTAAGGGGCCAGAGCCGAAGGGTTTCAGCCGCAGACCCAATCAGATTTGTAGACTTTCCCTCCCTGTGTGGGTGGACATCCCCCTACCTCCCTAGGAAGGCCTTTTCCCAGGATGCTGTTCACTGGGGCATCCACTGTGCAGCTGCTTGGCCTTGGTAGGGGCTGTGAACTGGAACCCCAGGCCTGAGCTTGTTATGAAGGAAAGGCTGGCTTCCTGTGACTCAGAGACTTGTCCCTGGACTTCAGGAAAGCAGACATGGCTCTTTCTTTTCCTCATTTGTAAAAGGGGATAAAGAGGGTCGCTGGATGCTGGATGCTGGTGGTTCAGACCAGTAATCCTGGCTACTCAAGAGGCTGAAGTCTGAGGATCTCAGAAAAGTCTTTAAGACTCTTATCTCCAATTAACCAGTCCCCCCCCCCAAAAAAAAGGTAGTGGGGAGGTGTGGCTCAAGTGGTAGAGGCCTAGCCTTAAGTGAAAAAGCCAAGGCTGCTAGGTGCTGATGGCTCTTGCCTATAATCTTAGCTGTTCAGAAGACTGAAATCTTAGGATTGCAGATCAGAGCCAACACTAGCAGGAAAGTCCATGAGATTCTTCTCTCCAGTTAACCACTAAAAAGCTGAAAGTGGGGCTGGGAAGGTGGCTCAGTGGTAGAGTGCTTGCCTTGCATGCCTGAGGCCCTGGGTTCGATTCCTCAGCAACACATAAACAGAAAAAAAAAGCCAGACGTGGTGCTGTGGCTCAAGTGGTAGAACACTAGCCTTGAGCTGAAGAGCTGAGGGACAGTGCCCAGGCCCAGAGTTCAGGCCCCACCACTAACAACAACAACAACAAAAAACCCCAAAAACTCAGAGACAGCACCCATGCCCTCAACGAAGCCCTAGGATGGGCAAAAGAAAAAAAAAAAGCCAGAGCAAGGAGAACCTTACTTCAAACCCGAGCACTGGCACCAATAATACCCCCCCTCAAAAAAACAAAACAAGCTGGGCGCTGGTGGCTACGCCTGTAATCCTAGCTACTCAGGAGGCTGAGATCTAAGGATCGCGGTTCAAAGCCAGCCCGGGCAGGAAAGACCATGAGACTCCTATCTCCAATAAACCACCAGAAAACTGGAAGTGACGCTGTAGCTCAAGTGGTAGAGTACTCGCCTTGAGCTGAAGAGCTGGGGGACCAGCGCCCAGGCCCAGAGTTCAAGCCCCACGACCAACAAAAAAACAAAACAAAACAAAAAACCCTGAGCATTCTAATCCTAGCTGCTCAAGAGGCTGAGACTAAGGATGATGGTTCAAAGTCAGGCCGGGCAGGAAAGTCCTTGAGACTCTTATCTCCAATAAATTACCAAAAACACTGGAAGTGGAGTTGTGGCTCAACTAGTGCAGTGTTAGCCTTGAGCAAAAGAAGCTCAGGGACAGAACCCAGGCCCTGAATTCAAGCTCAGGACCGGTCAGAAAAGAAGGGGGAGGGGAGCGGGTAACTAGCAGATCAAGTGAGGGTATCTGTAGTTCCTTAGAAGGGCATGTGGGGGACAGTGCTGGTGTGACCTGGCCTGGACTGTCTGGTACAAAGTAACCATGTCTTTGCAGGAATAAAGCTGGCTGGTTGGACAGCGAACTCAACATGTTCACACACCAGTACCTACAGCCCAGCAGATAGTGGGCAGCGGGGGGCGGGGCCGCCCACCCTCAGAGCTTACGGCCCCCAGGGCATGCGCCTCAGTCCCCGGCCACCACTGGAGAGGAAGAAAGCACCCACTGTCTCTTGCCATTTTGAGCCCTTCACCAGTTATCCCGGCCCCTGGCCTGCTATTGCAGGAAGAAACTCTGTCTCCCACCCCAAAGGAAATATATATCAACACGCGGAGAGCATGGTACCAAGGAGTTGTGGCAAGGCCCTTCTCTGCTTTCATTGAAGGGATCTCAGATATCAGCTCTGCCCTTCATGGTATCAGGCAGACACCCCACTTTCTCCACCCATACATACCTGCCCTCCTTATACCCCAGGGCACCGTACTACGATGGAGTGACTGGATTTTCTTCCCAGAAGCATCTAACCTAGTTCCAGGAAGGCCTGGGCTCACCGGGGCTCACCTGGCAGGACTGTGGCTTGTGTTGTGTGGCCTGCAGCTTCAGCACTCTGTCCTGCTGTGGACAGAGTTAATGATTTGGTAGCCAGGCTTCGCATGGAGCCCGAGGCAGCCCTGAGCATGAGGGGTGGGATGCCTCACAGCCAGCCAGAGTAGTGGGAGGAGCTCAGGAGAGGGGGCGTGGTTGGTGGGCGTGGTTGGGAGAAGGTGGTGCTGTCAGAGCTGGGGGAGGAGGGTCACCATGAGGAGGAAGGCCTTGCCGCTCCCTCCCTCTGGTTTCAGTCCTTGGCCTGCATAGTTCTGGGTTATTACTGGTGTGGACTGCTTTGGGTCAAGCGGCAAAAGTATGTAGTAGAAGGGACGGTGAAAGATGGAGACTTGGCATCAGGCTGGGGCAGGGGTCCCCACCCAGCACGGCTGGAGAATGTGGTTGGTACAGAATAGGGTCTCCACCTAACTTGCTCTGAGGGGATCATGGGCCTGAGAGCCCCCACCCCACCAGCTAGATTGCATCCCCACCTTACCTCAAGCTACTCTTGGCCACCGGTTCTCTGGACCGTTCCCTGTGCTGGTGACTGCAGTGATCACCATACAGCCTGAGGAACCCAGCTTCCATCCTCCCGCTCACCTGCCTTTCAGCTTCGCCAGTTCCCAGAGCTTCTCCTGATATATCAGGCCTCATGTTGACATTGAGAAATGTTCCCTGCTGTTGAGTTTTGGGATTGCCACTGGTCCGAGTGGGAAAGTTCTGGTCGTCGCCAATGTTCATGTCCCAGAAAGATGAGCTTTTGGAGAAAAGGTCAGAGCAGAAAGAGAGTGCTGAGACCAGAGCCCAGGGCGGGGCGTCCCAAGTGTGGGAGGTGGGGAGGGGCCAGCGAAGGGCGTGTCCTGGAGCACGTCAGGAGAATCAGTGTCACACAATCCCAGAGAATTCATGTTCTTTTTAAAAAACAAAATGATTTAGAATAAAAATGGATTTGTTTTCAGTGTAGCCCCTTGGGAATGAGTGAAATTTTGAGCTTCTTATACAATAAGAGACATTAAATTTGTACCACCAAGGGAGAGACCGTCTCTGAGAGAAGCGTGTGGCTCAGGGCACTTTGATTTCTGACTGCTGACCTTGCTGTTTTCATGTTCACTTCCTGGAGTGCAAGACATGTTTGACGTGAGTTTCCCTTTGACATATGTAAGGTGATCTATGTGTCTGAATTACTCCTGTACCATTGCTGATAATATTGGAAAGAAATAAAACCCAGTTGGAACCCTGTGTGAGCCCACTGGCAGCTGGCTGTCCAGCCTGAGAACCAGTGCCCACCTGACCTCCAGGGGCCAGGGCACCCAGAGGGAGCCCTTCAGATCCTCTCTGCCCCAGTTTGCCTTCTGAGAATTTGCCGTGACACACCTCCCTCTCACCCCTTTTCTTTTGAAGGGCCTTGGGGAGTGGGTTCCCTGCCCTTCCTCACCTCTCCCTTTTGAGGCCCCAACCCCTGCCTGTCCAGTCCCCCAAGCCCAGCCGCCTCCTCCTTGATTCCCAGACTATAGCAGATAAAGGCTGCATGTTATACGCCACTCCTGTCTCCTAAGTCTTCCTTGACTTGGCCTTACCCCACTTCTACCACATCACGCCAGGCTGACCCCTACCCTCCTCTGCTCTTTGTGACATTTCTGGGCAGCAGCCCAGGGTGGCCTTAGGACCTAGAGCTCAGGTCTGCTGCGGCCTGTGCTGCTGGAGTCCACCCAAGTCAGCCCTCATCCCACTCCCCTAGTCAGTTCCTTGCTGTTCTGTACCCTGTGCAGGGCTTCTGCCCTTGGCCTCGGCTGGCCAGCTGCCTGACTTCCTGCTGCAGGCCCAGCTGACTCATCCTCTGTCTCCAAGTTGGCTGAGCTGTCACCTTGGAAAGTGAACTCAGACCACCCTGTTGCTAGTCTCCTGTCCTTCCCCAACATTCACCTCCATGATGAAGTCTGTGCTTCATTAAGTCGTCTTGACACAATGGAACATGTTCTCTCTTTGTTATCTCCTGCTTGATGTACACGTACTAGGCAAGAACCCAAAGTTTGGGTTTATTGACTTTTTTTTTTTTTTTTGGTCAGTTGTGAGGCTTGAACTCGGCCTGGGCGCTGTCCCTGAGCTCTTCAGCTCAAAGTAAGCGCTCTACCACCTGAGCCACAGCACAACTTCCAGTTTTCTGGTGATTAATTGGAGATAAACATCACACAGACTTTCCATCCTGGGCTGGCTTTGAACCATGATGCTCAGATCTCTGGCTCCTGAGTAGATATGATTACAGGTGTGAGCCACCAGTGCCCTGCTTGTTTTGTTTTGTTTTTTTTTTTTTAATATAGTGAGGTTTGAACTCAAAACCTCATGCTTGCTAGGCAGGTCTTCTGCCACTTGAGCCACCTGCCCCCATTCCCCTACCCCCCTTTATACCAGGCATCTGGACCTACATCTGACACAGAGACAGAACTTTGTAAAACCTTGATTAATGACCTTGACAACATAGGCTACCTCTGTCAATGGGGAGTGAGGGCAGAGCTACCAAGTGCTATAAGAAACCTGTTTATGGGTATAGTTTTTTTGTAATTAATTTACTGTTATTACAGAGTTGATGTACAGAGGGATTACCATTAGATGAGTCAGGCAATGAGTACATTTTTCTTTCGTACAGTGTCTTCTGTTCCTTCGTTCTTTCCCAGTCCCTCCCTCCTGTCTCTACCCATGAACTATATAGTTCACATTCATCAGTGTCCAGTGAGCTCCACTGTTGTACTTTTTCACCCTTTCTCCCTTGAGCTCTGCTCTTTCCCCACCCTCCCAAAGATATACGTGTGACTACAATATACATAAGGTAAAGAATCATACAAAACTGAAAAAAGTCTTCTGTTTCCATATCCTGGAGTTTCAGTACATATATCACTTCATATAAATATGAAGAGCATTTAGGCACTGTGCCTTTGTGTTTCTAGTATCCTAGTATCCTCTTTTAGTTTCACGATGTGTAGCTAGGATCCTGTTTAATTTGTCATATATCCCTCCTTGTGCATTTTAGATCTAACTTCTTCATATCAGAGAATATGCACCACTTGTGTCTCTGAGCTTGGCTTACCTCACTTAACATGATTTGTTCTAGTTTTTATTCTAATGGCTGTGTAAAAATCCATTGTATATAGATACTTTTTTTTTTTTTTTTAATCATCATGGGGCTTGAACTCTGGACCTGGGCACTGTCCCTCAGCTCTTCAGCTCAAGGCTAGCACCACTTGAGCCACAGCACCACTTCAGGTTTTCTGAGTGGTTTACTGGAGATAGTCTCATGCCTTTCCTGCCGGGGCTGGTTTTGAACCATGATCCTCAGATCTCAGCCTCCTGAATAGCTAGGATTACAGGTGCGAGCCACCAGTGCCTGGCTAGATACCACATTTTTTTAAATCCACTGGAATTGTGGGGCATCTGGGCTGTTTCCATATCTTGGTTATTGCGAATAGTGTGACAAATGAACATGGATGTGCAGGTGTCCTTATCATATCCTGGCTCTTGATGTTCAGGGTGGGGCCTGAACTCAGGGCCTGGGCACTGTCCCTCTGCTCTTCAGCTCAAGGCTAGCGCTCTACGACTTAAGCCACAACGCCACTTCCAGCTTTTTCTGCCTATGTGCTGCTGAGGAATCGAACCCAGGGCTTCATGCATGCAAGGCAAGCGCTCTACCACTGAGCCACCTTCCCAGCCCTTTAAAGACATTTAAAGCGTAGTTTTAAGGACTTTCAGGGACAAGTATACCGAGCATTCAGCACTTAACCCATTCAGCTCCGTGGGTACTGAGGCTCAGAGAAGAAACAGACCAACTTTAATCCAAACCCCTGGGTGTGGTGGTAGGTGTGGGGAGACTGATTTTGGACTGTGCGGGCCACTCCATCTCGTCGCTCGTGTCGTCTCGCTGCTGTCCCGCTGCTGTCCCGCTGCTGTCCCGTAGGACGCGGCAGCGCTGGCCTTCACGCACAGGTACGATGCGGCTGCGCAGGCCTTCACGCACAGGTACGATGCGGCTGCGCAGGGCTTCACGCACAGGTACGATGCGGCTGCGCTGGCCTTCACGCACAGGTACGATGCGGCTGCGCAGGCCCGCGGAAAGGGCCGGGCACACGCGGGCGCCCCGCGGACTGGCACACACAAGCCTGGACTAGGCGCGTTCATTCTAATCTTACCGCCTCCTCCGCTGCTGCAGAGCCTCGCATTAATACCTCCAGAAACAAAGCAGTCTTGAGCACAAGTACACAAGAAGCGCGCACCGCCGCCACGGCCCGTAGCAACCCGCAGCATCCGAAGCCGAAAACTGCCGCAGCCCTCGCGGCGAACTCGGCTGACCAATCAGAACCCGCTCCTTCGGGTTCCGCCCATTCCTAAATTGGACCTCGCGTCCTCGGCCTCAGACTCTGACCAATCAACTGTGAAGGATGCCATCAGTTCCGCCCCCAAATTGAAACTACCGCCTGGCTCCGCCCCAACGACCAATCAGAGGCCTCGGGAAGGCCCCGCCCCGGGGCGTGGCGAGAGGAGAACCGAGCGGCGCGGAGCGGGCGGCGGCTGGTCGAGCGGGTCTGCGGCTTCCGGGCGGTGAGTGCCGCGGCCGCCGGGCTGAGGAGGAGGGGAAGGAGGGGGGAAGGGTCCCCACCCGCTTCCCGGGTCCGCCCTCGCCCGTTACCTCTGCCGGCCTGTCCTCCGGACGCCCCCCTGTCTGGCCTCCGCGCAGGTCGGTATTGCGAGCGCGGCGCGGCCGGAGCGGAGCCCTGCCTGCCGGCCGAGCGCTTCACGCCCGGGCGGAGGCCGACCTCGGGCCGGACGGGCGTGGCCCCGAGTCTCCAGACCAGGTAACGGTGGGGCCTGCGAGTGTGTCCCGCCGCGGGAGGGCTTCCCCGGACGCCTCCCCACTCCCGGCCCCGGAGCCAGGCCTGGCCTGGCGTTCACTGCCCGGTTGACGTGGGGCAAGTTACTAAACCTGCTTCCTGGTGAAAAGCAAAGCTGAGGCTGTAGTGCATGCCTAGCAAGCTGCAGCCCCGGACTCCACCAGCGCTGACTCCACAGCAGTCACAAACCCCCCAAACGATGACTGCCATTGAGGAGATTAAGAGGTGTTTGTGACCCTAAAATTAATTAGAAGAAGAGAGGGAGGGAGGAAGAGGGAAGGCAGGAACGGGTTAGGAATCGAGCTGCTGGTACGTTACATACACATTTGCAGACTGTCACTGGCTCCTCTGTAAGTCAGGGAGTCTTGATTTTCTAGAAAGGCCTTAGGGGAAGTTGCTCTCTTGAGGGGGCCGGATCCCATTTACTAATACAGATGTGCTTGCTATGTGACTAGCACTGCTGCCTTTTTTTTTTTTTCCTTGTGCCAGTCCTGGGCCTTGACCCTTAGCTTTTAAGCCCAAGGCTGGCACTCTACTATTTGAGCCTCAGCTCCACTTCCAGGTTTTGGTAGTTAATTGGAGATAAGAGTCTCATGAACTTTCCTGCCTGGCTGGCTTCAAACCATGCTCCTCAGATCTCAGCCTCCTGAGTAGCTGGGATTCTAGTTCATAAGCCACTGGTGCATGGCACTCCAGATTTTCTTTTTTTCTTTTTTTCCTTTGCCAGTTGTGGGACTTGAACTCTGGGCCTGGGCGCTGTCCTGCAGCTCTTCAGCTCAAGGCTAGCGCTCTACCACTTGAGCCACAGCACCACTTCTGGCTTTTTCTGCTTATGTGGTGCTGAGGAATCAAACCCAGGGCCTCATGCATGCAAGGCAAGCACTCTATCACTGAGCCACCTTCCCAGCCCCTCCAGTTTTTCTTAATCAGGTAGTTACTGCTACCCTGCTCGACAGGTGAAGGAAATACGCACAGAGAAGTCATGTAATTTGCCCAAGGCTGCACAGGAGAATTCCAGAAAGGAGTTGGAATCTGGGCCTCTGGCACCAGGGTGCCCTTCCCAGCCTTCATTATGCCATCTTGGCTCCAGGTAGAACCCACTCCCCAGTACCTACAGTGAGGGGTCACCAATGCCGAGGTTGGAGCTGGGGGCTGTGCCTGGCCTGGGAGAGACCAAAGACCTTGAGCAGCTTCGGCTGCTCAATCTGGAGCTACTGAAGCAGCTGTGGATTGGGCAGGAAGCTGTGCAGCGTTCGGTGGCCAAGGCCTTTGCAAAGGTGAGTGTCTACTGTGGGAACCCTGGGGGTGGGGGAGGGGCTGCCTTGCCTCAGGATGGTGCCCAGGGTCATCTTGCCCAACACACTCACTTTATATAGATCTTGGGAGGGAAGGGACCGGGCCGAGGGACACTGCAGAGACCACAGCAGGAGGAGGCCCCCTGGACCCAGTGCAGGCAGGTCAGGTGGGCGCTGGCTGAGCCACCCCGGAGTGACCTGGCTCATCTTCTTCAGTCAGGCCTGGACTGTCCCCGACGTTACAACTCAGAGACACCCATGTATCCAGATACGTCCTCAGACTCCCCCAGCACCTCCGGCTCACGGGACAGAGGGCAAGAGAGGGACACAGAGGACACCCTTGGAGATGACCCTCATAAGAGGGTCTGGCTTGGCAGGGCCAGCTCCAGGGCGGCCTCTCTACCACCTGCCGAGCACCAACGCCCGGAGTCTCTGGACGTACCGAGGTTCCGCTCGGCTTCCTTGCCTGTCCCCAGGGAATGGAAGGAGCCAGCACCTTTAGCAGGGCCGGGAGACATGGAGCTCCCTAAGGCACAGACTCCAAGGTCCAGACGGAGCAAGCCATTCAAGGTAACATTGAAAAATTTGGGCATCCACCCATGGGGCTTGCTTAAGCCTTAGTTTCCCAATCTGACAGAGGTACTCCTCATCAGTGGCCCCTGTAGAAGGAGAGCTTTCATGGAGGTGTTGTGTATAGCACCAACAAGTGATTAATGCTAGTTTTTCAGATAGCACTGTGGGAAGTAAGACGATGATGGGCCCCATTGTACAGGTAAAGCCTCCCCTAAAAACTAGGGCCACAGCCAGGCACTGGTGGCTCACACCTGTAATCTCAGGAGGCTGAGATCTGAGGATCATGATTCAAAGCCAACCAGAGCAGAAAAGCCCATGAGATTCTTATTCTTACCTCCAATTAGCTAACAGAAAACTAGAGTGGAGCTGTGGCTCAAAGTGGTAGAGTACTAGCTTTGAGTGATAAAGCTTAGGGGCTGTGCCCAGACCCTGAGTTCAAGCCCCACGATCAGCAACAAAACAAAAAAAAAAAAAAAAAGAAGAAAAAAAACTGGGGCAAACCTTTATCTTCTGGGTCTTGATCCCTCAGCTGAGCTCCAGGACCGAAGCTGGGGTATAAATTAGGACAGCCCCTTTGTTCTTCTGAGGAGGGGTCCCCTTTGGGCTGGGCTCGCTGTCCTAGCCCTTGCCCTTTTGGCCTCCCCAGCCCACAGTGACCTTCGGCCAGGGGACTGCAGTGCCTGAGAGAAGCTGGCGCCTCCAGCCATACTTGGGCTACGACTGGATTGCAGGTAAGGCCCCTCCTAGCCAGCAAGAGCCCCTGGCCTGGAAGGGAGACAGGCCCTGGCTGGGCGAAGCCACAGGCACAGGCCACGTCTCCCGATGCATGAATGAGTCAGGGCTGCTGCATTCTGAGCACAACTCCACCTGGACTGGCTCTCCATTTTCTTTTTTCTTTTTTTTTTTTTTGTGTCCGGTTGTGGGGCTGAACTCTGGGCCTGGGCGCTATCCCTCAGCTCTTCAGCTCAAGGCTAGCACTCTACCACTTGAGCCACAGCGCCACTTCCGGCTTTTTTCTTTTTGCTTATGTGTTGCTGAGGAATTGAACCCAGGGCCTTGAGCATGCAAGGCAAGCGCTCTACCACTGAGCCACCTTCCCAGCCCCTGGCTGTCCATTTTCATGCCCACTTCTCACCCCAGCCACCTCAACAGCCTCCCAGCTGGTCTTCCAGCCCCTTCTGTCTCGTTACTACCCACTTGTTTCAATAATGCAGAGTAACATTTACCACTTGAGTCTGTTCCTTTTGGTGATATTGGGGTTTGAACTCAGGTTCTTATGCATGCTAAGCAGGAGCTGTACCCCTGGAGCCACTCTGCCAGCTCATTATGACCTCTTTTTTTTTTTTTTTTTTGTCAGTCCTGAGGCTTGAACTTGGGACCTGGCACTGTCCCTGAGCTGCTTTTGCTCAAGGCTGGCACTCTACCACTAAGCCACATTCCCAACCTGGACAGTCTTACAGACTTCTCTTTCTGATTTGGCTTGAAGCTATGCTATTCCTGATCTCGGCTTTCTGAGTGGCTACAGGTGTGAGGCACCAGTGAGTGCCTGGCTTTCAAGGTTTTAAATGTGGGAACAAGGTTATGTCACTCCCTTCTCGGACCTCCCCAAGATTTTCCCCAGCACATACTATCAATGCCTGAATCCTCACTCTGCTATCTGGTCTACCTGGCCTCTGACTATCTACTTCTTCATTCCAGCCTCACTGGTCTCCTTGCCAGTTATTGAACCAGATGTTCTTTTAACTACCTCAGGGCCTTTGCACCTGCTGGCTCCTTGGCATTCAGAACTCAGTTGCACTGATAGGCCTTCTGTGAGTATCATGTCACAGGTCAGCACCACCCAGCACAGCCTGTGCCACTTCTTACCACTCTCAGGAATGGTCTCTGGACAAGTACTCTCTGAACTGCTGGTTTCCTTTAGTCCTTGGGAAGAAGGCGACCCTTACTGAGCAGAGATAGGCCTGTTGACCTGATCTCCAAGGGAGCTCGAATTTTGCCTGACACATGACAGGTTCCATGGTGGTCTCTGGGTGCTCTGAGGTGTGGAGGTTGAGTCGCCCGAGTGTTCTGTGCGTAGCGGGGATGCCACAGGGTCGTGGTGGTGCAGACACCACCCCTGCCGCAAGGACTTGCTGGAACCCCAGCTTCATGGCTTCTTTTTTCTGGGGAGCGGGATGCCGCTTCCCTGCCCTGAGTCCATGTAGATGCCGCTTCCTCCTTTCCCTCAAGCCAGGGCCCAGGCCCACATCCCTGTGTCCCGCCACCGGTACTGGCCTGCCCCACCTCTGCTTCCTGGGATGCCAGTCCCCTCTGATGCCACCACCTGCATCATCATCTGCATCTCCCCCTACATCATCTGCATCTCACCATCCTTTCCTATGCCTCCTCCATCATCTCCATCATGTCCTGCATCGCCTCCCTCTTCTACAATGCCTGCTTTAGCTCCATCTTGTCTCCTACATTACCGCCCGCGTCATCTCTTGCGTCACCGCCTGCATTGTATCTGACACCAACTCCTGCTTCATCCCCATCACTTCTGCATCATATCCAACATCATCCTGGACGTCACCCCCTGCGTCATCTTCCCTGCCCTGGCTCCTCTGACGTCATTTCCATCATCTTCTGTACTTTTATCTGACGTCATGGCCTTGACCATCTACATCATCTACCTTGTCTCCATCATCGTGTTGCCCTGTGAGGCTGAACACAGGAGCGTGCTGGAGTGAGCCTGCAAGCTGGTTTTGTGGCACGCTCTGGGGTTCTGGCCCTTGTCCTATGAGCTTTGCTGTCCTTCACTCCTACTGACTCCTCTACTTCTCAGAATAGTCCCACAAGGCAGGTGCTGCAGGATTCTTGGTGACACAGGAAGCTGAGGCCTGGAGAGATAGAACCTTCCAAAACCTCACACCGGGCCTGGGAAAGCTGCTGCCATCTTTCTCATCCAGATGAAACAGGAATGGACGTCTGCCTTTGCTCATGCGTGTTTCGGTTACAGCTCCGTTTCTTGGCCTTCCTTTCCTTTCCCCCCCCCCCCCCCTTTTCTTTCCCTTCCCTTCTTCCTTTCCTCTTTATTTGGCCTTCTGCTCTTGCTTGGCTTTCTTGCTCGTAGCTGTTGCTGTACCATATGAGCCACATCTGCAACCCGGTATTTTGCTCATTAATTGAAGATGGAGTCCCATGGACCATTCTGCCTGGTGTAGCTTTGAACTTTGATCCTCCAGGTCTCAGCCTCATGAATGGTTAGAATTACAGGCAGGAGCCCTTGGGACCCGCTCCCCTCACCCCACTTTATCTCTAGCACCTCTAACTCACACCAGTCCCCCAACTTCCAGACTCAGTTATCCCAGCTTCTCTACATTGTCATAGTTGTCTTTTCTTTTTTGTTGGCTGTGGGGCTTGAACTCGGCCTGGGCGCTGTCTCTCAGCTCTTCAGCTCAAGGCTAGTGCTCTACCACTTGAGCCACAGCACCACTTCTGGCTTTTTCTGCTTATGTGGTGCTGAGGAATCGAACCCAAGGCCTCATGCATGCGGGGCAAGCACTCTACCACTGAGCCACCTTCCCAGCCCCATAGTTGTTTTCTCTGTTCCCTAAGCAACTACTTGAAGCTGGAACTTCATAAAGAAAAGGAGTTTATCTTAAGGTTCAAGAGCATGATGCCAGCATCTGGTTGGCCTTGCTGCAGCTCTGGCCATGTCACAGCCCAGCAGGTAACATTATGCCTGTGGCATGTGCAGGAGAGAAGGGACAGTCATACAGCCAGAGAGGAAGCAAGAGAGCCATAAGGCCAGACTTGTTCTTTCTATAAGAACCTATGTACCCATTGCAAGAGCTGACCTAGGTCTTATGAGAACTACATTAAAAGTCTCAGACTTTTCTGTCATGATAATCAGATCTCAGCCTCCTGAGTAGAGACAAGCACTCTACCACTGGGCCACCTTCCCAGCCTCTCCATGAGACTCTTATCTCCAGTTAACTACCAGAAAACCAGAAGTGGTGCTGTGGCTCAAGTGGTAGAGCACTCGCCTTGAGCTGAAGAGCTGAGGGACAGTGCCCAGGCCCAGAGTTCAAGCCCCACATTCGACAGAGATGAGGGTCATCTAGCTTACCTAAAATAACGCTTGGCCCATGGGATGGGCCATGTCAGAATTGTGTCCTCTCCTAATTAGGAGCAGCGGGACACACAGGTGCTAATAAGCAAAGCTGCAGGCACAGTGAACCTATCACTCGATAGGTTCCGCCCAGTCTATGCAAGGCACAGCAGGCACCAGGGCTTTGTGTCCCCATCCTCAGCCAGTGGCCTTGGCCCTTCAGCTCCTCGTGTTTTGCCCACACCAGGGTCTCTGGACAGCGCCTCCCACATCACCGATGAGCCCGAGGCTTTCTTCTCCACGCTACAGAAGTTCCGGGAAGCCAACAAGGAAGAGTGCATTCATGGTTACACCGAGTGAGCAGTGGCAGGCCGGGGCGGGCGAGGGTGGCCAGGGCGCTCCGCTGCCTGCCCGCCTGCTCAGCGCTCTCCTCTCCCAGAGGGCAGTCCCAAGGCCTGCACGGGGACGGCGTGGAGGACGACCACCAGTGTGAGTGTCCACTTCCACTGGGCCAGACAGCCCCGCCCATCCACCCTGGCCCAGCTCCCCGAGTGGAGATCTTGGCAGGACTCTCAGTTGTTGGGGGCCTCAAGGGAAAGCCTGGGGAGTGGATCCCTCTGGAGCCTGCCTGTGTGACCACCGGGGGCCTGCAGCTGGCCAGGCTGGCTCTGGAGCTCTGGAAGGTTTTGCTCCCCAACTGTAGGAGTGGGCTTCTTGGGTCCCAGAAGGAGAAGGAGGGGCCCTTGCTTCCCAACAAGCTGATGACCAGTGTGCACGCACACTACCTGGAGCTCCTGCTCAGGGAACCTGCTCTCCGGCCTCACAGGTGTGTACTGCTACCGCCTCAACCGGCGCTTGTTCCCGGTGCCCGTGGATCCCGGTGCCCCCTGCCGCCTGTGTGGGACACCACGGGACCAGCGGAGCCCCGAGACCCTGCGAGAGCCCGCACAGGTCAGGTGAGCGCCAGAGCCTGACTCCTGATGCTTTTTATTTTTTTTGGTCAGTTGTGGGGCTTGAACTCTGGGCGCTGTCCCTCAGCTCTTCAGCTCAAGGTGAGTGCTCTACCACTTGAGCCACAGCACCACTTCCGCTTTTTCAGGTGGTTTATTGGAGATCAGAGTCTCATGGACTTACCTGCCCGGGCTGGCTTTGAACCGTGACCCTCAGATCTCAGCCTCCTGAGTAGCTAAGATGACAGGCGTGAGCCACTGGTGCCTGGCTGATGCTCTTTTTAAAAATTTATTTATTGTGACTGTAAAGGTGGTGCACACAGGCCTGCTGCTTTTGCTGGGGAGCAGGGTCAGGCGGGGCCCCTCCCCCATCAGTGTCTCCCTACACCCCGGCACAGGGTGAGCGTCCCGCTGTCCATCCTGGACCCCCCGCACCAGTACCGCATCCACCGGCGGAAAAGCTATGACTCCTCAGACACGCTGGCCCTGCCCCGGGTGAGCAGCTCACAGATCCCCTGGCCCATCTCTCTCCCCCATGCCGAGCGGAGGCCCCTACCGGCCGGGATGAGTGTTTCTCTTGCACTGTCAAGTTGGGTCCCAGTTCTTGCTCTCAGGCCACACACAGGGAGACTGAGGCAGAGCTGGCAGGAGAGCTGGATTCGAACCCAGATCTTAGGCTCCCATGGTGAATGTTGGCGAGACAGCCTCCCTGCATTTCCTGTTGTGATGGGCGGCGGGGGCCGGGGCGGGGGAGCGGCGGGCTGGGGTCGGGGAGAAGGGAAGGATTGCCCCTTGCTGTCCTTAAGGCACAGCCCTGGGTGTGGAGGGTTCCATGGATGCCACTTAGGTGATGGATACCCAGAGCAGAGCAGGGTCACAGCGCCCCATAAATACCTGCATCCCCTCACCCAGCTTCCAGTCACCCCCAGGTGGCCAGAATGGTAGGATCAGGGGAGGGGGAGAGAGGGGATGCAGACCAGTGGTCCTCCCCCCTCCCCGGGCTGAGGACCCCTCTTCTCCACAGCACTGCCTGCTGGGCTGGGGCTCCCTCCCTCCCACATCTGAGCGGAGATCAGCTCCTCAGAGCCTGGATCTCTGGTCCTCAGTCTCCTCCAAGGCCCAGCACCGGACACTGTCAGCCACTACCCCTTCCCACCTGGTAAGGGCCTTTGGGTGCCCTGGGAGGGCACGGGGGGGGGAAGGGGGTGCGGCCTCATCCACCTTTGTCTCATCTGCCTGTGCCCCCCCCCCATGATGGTGACCCTAGCTCCAAGACCCAGGTGGGGCTGAGGCTGCAGCTAGGCACGGCCTGCCTCCCATGCAGTGCTGCGCCCCCCCCCCCCCACCTTCCCCATCTACTTCCTACTTCCCAGACCCTGCGGGCGCCACCCTCCACTCCAATCTGGTCAGAACCCTAGGTACCCCGCGGCAGGGCCCCAGCAGAAGCTCTGAGGTCAGCTGCCCAGAGGAGGAGAGCACTCCTGCCCGCCAGGTGCCCAGCCCCATCCCTCACCAGGCAGGACCTCCGCCTGCCCTGCCCGCCCACATGCCTGCCTGCCCACCCCGCCCCGTGGCTTCAGGAGGAGGAGGGGATTCCACAATCCGTTTGTAAATAAAATTCAGGACTCCACAGCTCCTGCTCCCCTGTGTTCACTGCTTTGTCCTGGGGCCTTCCCTGTCTGAGTGTCTGTTCCCTGCCTGGGGCCTCCAGCCCCCATCCCTGAAGCTGGGATCCTTCGCTAGCACTCGCCTGAGCTCCCTGGGCCGGGCGCCTCCCACAGGCCCACGTAGCTTGGTCCTGGAAGGTGGATCCAGACCTTCCGGAAGGAGAGATGAGAAAACAGGGTTGTGCAGTGCACTGGAAGCAGCTTTGACAGCTCAGGCGTCTCCTTTCACCTGGGATTAGTTATTAGCGTTGTTTTCTCATCTCTCGTATGTGTTAGGTTGGATAGTAGTAAATTACTATATTAGTGGACAAAAGGAATAAATGCAAGGAGGGGACTAAAACTCCAGTGTGTTTTTTTTTTTTTCTTTTCAGTCAGTCATGGGGCTTGAACTCTGGGCCTGGGCGCTGTCCCTCAGCTCTAGGCTAGCGCTCTACCACTTCAGCCACAGTACCACTTCCAGTTTTTTTATGGTTAATTGGAGATAAGAGTCTTACAGACTTTCTGCTTTGGCTGGCTTTGAACTGTGACCCTCAGGTCTCAGCTTCCTGAGGAGTAGCTAGGATTACAGGCGTGAGCCATTGGCACCCAGCTCTTCTCCTTTTTGTGTGGTGGTACTGGGGCTTAAACTTAAGGGCCTGGGTGCTCTCCCTTAGCTTTTTCACTGAAGATTGGAGGTCACTCCTGTGCTTCCGGCTTTTTGCTGTTACAGACAAGAATTCTTGGAGTGGGCACTGGTAGCTCACACCTACCCAGCTACTAAGGAAGCTGAGATCTGAGGATCGGATTGTGGTTCAAAGCTAGCCCAGATGGGCAAGTCCAAGAAAAGAATTCATTGGGCTGGGAAGGTGGCTCAGTGGTAGAGCGCTTGCCTTGCATGCCTGAGGCCCTGGGCTCGATTCCCCAGCACCACATAAGCAAAGCGAAAAAAGCCGGAAGTGGCGCTGTGGCTCAAGTGGTAGAGCGCTAGCCTTGAGCTGAAGAGCTGAGGGACAGCGCCCAGGCCCAGAGTTCAGGCCCACGACCGGACACACCCCCCCCCCCCCCCCCCCGAAAAAGGAATTCATCACCAAAAAGCCCTAAGTAGAGCTGTAGCTCAAGTAGTAGAGCACAAATTTTGAGCAAAAAATACTCAGGGACAGTACCTAGGCCCTGGTTCAAGCCTCAGGATCAGCATACACATTTGTGTGCGTGCACACACACACACACACACACGTGCCACAGGTACTGTCTTTGTCACGGTGGGCCCCAGGACTGAGTCATCAGCACCCGCAGGAGCAGCAGCAGGGCTGTCACTGGCTTCCTCTCAGTCTCACTTTTCATTCTGACTGCTGAGGACTTTTTCGGTCTCTCTGTCTTGTGGTTTTAGCAGTGCCTGTGGCTGTCACCCGAACCCCAACCTCCCAGGCCACCATCTGCCTCCCCGGGCTGGGAAAGGCCCAGGGGTGGCTGTGGCTGGCCAGCCTCAGCGTTCCCCATGGTTTTGGCCCAGAAGGTGGGGAGGAAGCGGAAACAGGGCCAGAGGTGACGTCACAGGGAGGAGGGGACGAGGGGACAGACCCCAAGCACCCACGTGTCACACCTGAGATGTGTGTATGCACCACAGAGGTGCACTTGGGGTCACCAGCGGATCACAGAGCTCCCCCAGGAAGCTGCTACTACCGGGTGTCCCAGATGGGTCTCCTTCCCCTACCTCAGGTCTGGGGGTCTCCCTGCTAGCATTTATACCACGTCTTGGTACTATGTGTGTGAGGGGGGAATGTTTGGAACTGAGCTCAAGGCTAGCTTTGCCATTGTTGAATTGAGTGACTCGGGGGTAGAGGAGAGGGTGACAGGCATGCATACCAGGTTGTAACAGAGCCTTCTAGAACAGCTCTGGGACAAAGTAGATTCACCTGCTTAGAGACGTTTAGACCCCAGACCCCGGCTTCCTCCTGCCTTCTAGGTGATAACAGGTTGGGAAACAGTCTTGGAGAAGTTATTCCAGGAAGAGCAGGAAATGAAGGCCTGTCTTTCCTTCTCTCCCTTCCTTCCTTCCTCCCTCCCTCCGTCTTGCTCTCCTTCCCTTTCTCCCTCTCCAGTGTTGAGGCTTGAACCCAGGGCCTCATGCAGGCTGGACAAGTGCTGCTGCTGAGTTACATCCCAGCCACTTTTTTTTTTTTCTGATATGCACCTGGACAGATTCCCTCTCAACTCAATTTCCTATCTATAAAATGGCTTTTATAATGCCCAGCTCATGGGCTACAGGAGCAAAGACCTATTGTGGACTGAGTATGGGGCACCTGTGGCTCACGCCTGTAATCTTAGCTACTCAGGAGGATGAGATCTGAGGATCACAGTTCAGAGCCAGCCCAGACAGGAAAGTCCATGAGACTCTTTTCTCCAATTAACCACCAGAAAACCAAAAGTGGTGCTATGGCTCAAGTGGTAGAGTACTTGCCTTGAACTGTTGGGACAGCGCCCAGGCCCAGAGTTCAAGCCCCATAACCAACAATGAAAAAAGGTTCAAGGGGGTCAGCAAGTTGTTGTCTAAAGCCAGCAGCAGAAGGCAGAAGGCAGCAATGGGAACACACAGTGCACACACGGGACAGGTGAGGAGCCAAAGACAGCATCCTCAGGAAAACTCAATCCTGCCAGCACCCTGCCCTGGACCTCCAGCCTCCAGAACCTGAGAAAATAGCTTTCTGTTGTGAGGCTGCCCAGTCTGCATGGTTCAGTTTCACAGCCCTGGTAAAGAGAGCCATTACACGGTAAAATGCTTGCCTTGCATGCATGAGGCCCTGGGTTCGATTCCTCAGCACCGCATAAGCAGAAAGAGCCGGAGAGAAAGAACAAAAGCCATTAGGTTAAGAATCTGTCATCCAGGAAGTGGCGCTGTAGCTCAAGTGGTAGAGCGCTCGCCTTGAGCTGAAGAGCTGAAGGACAGCGCCCAGGCCCAGAGTTCAAGCCCCACGACTGACAAAAAAAAAGACTTTGGGCTGGGAAGGTGGCTCAGTGGTAGAGCGCTTGCCTTGCATGCATGAGGCCCTGGGTTCGATTCCTCAGCACCACATAAGCAGAAAAAAGAAAAAGCCGGAAGTGGTGCTGTGGCTCAAGTGGTAGAGCGCTAGCCTTGAGCTGAAGAGCTGAGGGACAGCGCCCAGGCCCAAAGTACAGGCCCCATGACCGGCAAAAAAAAAAAAGAATCTGTCATCCAAAACGCTCATAGATTTGTGTGTGTGCATGCACTAGTACTGGGATGTGAACTCACGGCCTCGTGCACTTGGCTTTCTCTGCTAGCAGCCAGTGCTCTGCCATGCTTCCAGTCTAGCCCTTTTTTTCTGGTTCATTGGGGATGGGAGTCTTGGTATATTTTTCTAGCAAGGCTGGCCTTGAACCCCCGTCCTCCAGGTCTCAGTCTCCTGAGTAGATAGGATTATAGGCATAAGCCACGACCAGCATCTGGCTGGCTTTTAAAATTTGAGAGTAGGGACATGCAACCTGCACCACAGTGGCCAGCACTCAATAAATAAGGGTTTCTGGTCACCCCAGCTCACCCTGGGAGCTTGGAACACCAGAGAACATACACGCCATATTAGATATTTAGCGTCTTTAAGAGGTGTACAGCCTTCTAACATTGAAAGCCATTGTTGTTGCCATATAACAGATGAGGAAACCGAAGCCGAGTAGGGTTGACCAGCTTGCTCCTGCTTGTTCAACAGTGGCCACAACAGAAGGAGGATTCAAATGCAAGTCCATCTGCCTTTTCCAAATGCTTCTTTTGTTAAAACACATCTACATACTCCAACTACATTTTATTGGTATTAGTACAAAGCTTTTATTATTATTTTTTGTGAAAATACCATACAGAGGAGTTACAATTACACGGGCAAGGTAATGAGAACATTTCTTATCAAGCATTGTTGCCTCCTCCTTTGTTTCCCCTTCCCATCCCTTCCCATCTCCCCCTCCAACACACACACACCCTTATTTTTTTAATTGGAAGCATTCATTGTATTTTCTGGGGCGAGGCACTAGTGGCTCACATCTGTAATCCCAGCTATTCAGGAAGCTGAGATCTGGGATAGATGTTCAAAGCTAGCCTGGGCAGAAACGTCCGAGAGACTCTAATCTCTAATTAACCACCTAAAAGCCAGATGGAGCTATAGCTCGATTGGTAGAGTGCTAGCCTTGAGCAAAAGAAGCTCAGGGACAGTGCCTAGGCCCTGAGTTCAAGCCCCAGGACTGGCAACAAAAATCAAATCTGAGTCCTAGAGAAGGCAGGGGGACCAGGTGCTGCAAGGAGAAGCAGCCTGCCACACAGGGCTGCGCAGTCCTGCCCGCTCCCTGCGAGGGGCCCTGGGGGGCTGACCCGGTCATTTTGAAATCTGGGGCCCCTCCCGGGCAGGATGAGCAGGGCAGGGCCGGGGAGCGGGGCTGTGAATCAGGAGTGAGATGATTCATGACCGCTATTTCTTACCCGTCCCCTTTTCTCAGTCTGATTGGGCTGCTTGCAGGCACAGCCTTCTTCCTTTTGGGTGCTGACTAAGCAGCAGGCCTAGGCCCCCTGCATGCTGTGGGTCTGCCCTCGAACTCTGTCCCCGTGCGATGACACCAGGGCCTTCTGGAGTTGCTGGAAATCCCCTCAATTGTGCTTGTCCTCATCCTTCCCCAGGTGGCTTCCTCCTCAGGGAAGCCCTCCCTGACTGCCCACCCCACCGCAGTGAAGTTAGGCCCTCACATGTCATTTTCCTTCTCGGCCCAGTGGAAAGCAAGCAGCCTTCCTGGTGCCCGGGCCCCCAGCACACTGCACCCACAATCTCCTCTTCTCGTCTTCCTTGTCTTCCTCCCCCTCCGCCTCCTTCTCCAGCTTGAACTCAGGGCCTGGGCACTGGCTCTGAGCTTCTTTTGCTCAAGGCTAGCACTCTGCCATTTGAGCCACAGCACCACTTCCAGCTTTTTCTGTGCATGTAGT